CCTTTGACACAGTTTGGCATAAAGGTTTATCACATAAATTACATGGATATGGCATTAGAGGTAGTTTATTACAGTGGTTAGAAAATTACATTTCGAACAGACAACAACAGGTTCTAGTAAAAAACGCATATTCCAAAATAAGTTATACGAATGCTGGTGTTCCACAAGGAAGTGTCTTAGGTCCTCTATTATTTTTGATATATGTAAATGATATTGTTGATAATTTGAATAGTATTTCACGCTTATTTGCTGATGATACCTCTTTGATGTATTCTTCATCGTCTTATGCTGATATTGAAAGGTCTGTTAATAGAGATTTGGAAAAACTTGATAAATGGTCTAGAGATTGGCTCACCAAGTTCAATCCACAGAAAACTGATGTTTTATTAATATCAAATTCAAGAAATATTTTGCCCTTACAACTTACTTTTGGTAATGAAACCCTAAATTGTGTTAAAAGTCATAAACATTTAGGCGTGGTATTTAGTGCAGATGCAAAATGGTCGTTACATATATCCGAAATTCAAAAAACATGTATGAAAAAGGTATCAGTACTTCGGAAGTTTAAGTTTTTATTGAGCAAGAAAATTTTGTTAAGAATATACAAAGTATTTATTTTACCTGTATTAGAGTATGCCTGTGAAGTTTGGGATGGTTGTTCTTTAGCAGATCTCACCAAACTTGAACACGTTCAGTTGGAAGCAGCTAGAATCATAACGGGCCTGCCCTCATTTTCTAGTAAACAGTCATTATATCATGAATCTCAACTTAAACCTCTGTCTGATAGAAGAAAACTTAAGAAACTTTCACTGATGTATAAAATCCACAATAAACGAACACCCTCTTATCTAACTAACCTTCTACCTCCTAAAGTACACGAACGGAATACCTATCAAGTGAGAAACATTGAAAATTACACTGTTCCCAATTTCCGACTGTCTAGTTCATTTCAGTCTTTTATTCCGTCTTCTATTAGACTATGGAATGAATTACCTAACAGTGTTAGAGAACAGCCATCCATAAACAGTTTTAAATCATTGATTCAGTATAATGAAAATGACTTGTTACCTAAATATTTTGATGTTGGAAATCGTAAACTGAATATTTTACACACACGATTGCGTCATTCTTGTAGTATTTTAAAATATGATTTGTATAGAGTTAATATTGTAAGTGATCCTACATGTGCATGTGGTAATAGGTGTGAAAATGTAATAAATTATTTTGTTGATTGTGTGCTGTATACACAACAACGACAAATCATGTTTGACAGTATCACACGTTACTGTAATGTTTCTCTTAATGTTATTCTTTCTGGTTCTCCAAACCTGTCTGATGAAGATAATGAAATTTTTTTTCTTGTCGTTCAAACATACATAAAAAATAGTAAAAGATTTTAAGATCAGTAGCAATTTTGTATATTATATCATATCTTACTCCATTTAGTCTCTACCGTTCCCTTTTCTTCCTTTCTCCCCCATTCCTTTCTTCACTTATTTTCTATACTCATATATATATATATATACTTTTGTAAATGTTATTGTTATTGTTGTCATGCCATTTGTGTATAATGAAATCTTATGGAGAAGGCGTTTTTAAGTTGCGATAACTTGTGCCCAATCCTTTTTGTTGATTGACAAATAAAATATGTTTAAATAAAAAAATTCCTTCAAACAAAGCGCGTATAAAAAAACCCAAAATATTCATGTTTATTATTATCAATTAACTAGAACAAAATATTTCCATAACATATTTATTCATTTAGTGTGTCATGGTGACATTATCTAATGCATTTGAGATCAGAAATAGTAGTAGCTATAGTGAAAATATTGTAAATTTTGTATATATATGGAAGTCTTGTTTAATATCAAAGAACTATGTCTTTATAGACATAATTACAGGAAGAAAAGTCTAACCATGATACTTCAAGGAAGATAGGCATGTAAATACATTTAATGTTATTACTTACACTTTAATCAATCTGTAATGCTGTTTACGCCTTATCTACTTTCCTCAACTACAAATATAATTACAATAAGTAAGGACTATTACTTTGCAATACATTCAAAATAAAGAAGTAGGTATAAAGTCTATTCGATTTGTCTAAATCCTCATATTGATAGGATGGTAATTGCAACATCTTGGGTATTTCAAAGGTTTTATTTAGTCAACTTCATCATAGAGCTATTTATCTTTTGGCTTGTTGGCGATAGATATATGGTTGTGTGTATTTTGTTGTTTTTTTTACCTATTTTGATTTGTTCACATTATTATCGTCAAATTTGAAATAAGAATTAAAGAAGATATAAAATTGCTTAAAATTAAGAAAAATAGCCTCTGGTTCTCTTATTTTAGTAATTTTTGCATTCCAAAGTGTAGGAGTAAGGGAAATTAATATAGCTTTGCGGTTATCTGTGAACATTTTTCAATACGTTTAGCCTTTCAGTACTTCCAGTACTTTGATTATTACTATGCTGACGTCACTATGTAAAAAAAGGCGGTCAGAGGATACGGCTGTAAACAATCTTGGTAGAAGATGAATTGGATTATGTGAAGCGAGCGGTTCCCGTGCAACGGCAGAAAATAGATGATATTATTGGTCGTCTAACATTTTTTAAAACTATTTAAGTTCGGATTCATCGACTACATTCTTGTCGAGAAACTATGTTTTGATCTTGTTTACACAACGAAGTCTGAATTTTATACATGGCCTAGCGATGCTGCTATTGATTTTGCGGTTCAATGTGAATATATTTTTTTAAAAAAGTTACAGTGTACACGTGGAATAATGATCAGGCAGATAATTATGCGAGATGTTCTAAACTCCAAGCAAGCTGATCTGATTGAAATAATAACATCACTAGAAAATAAATATAGTAATGTTAACCAGTGTGTTGATAATGTGTCTTCCGTGCTTTGATTTTTTCCCCTTTTGGTGGCAAGGCTAATTTCTTGCAACTCTACTGCTGTCATAATGTTATGAATGACAAACCACGGTTCGACGACCATTGTAAGTTTTTTGTACAGAGGATACAGGAAAGCTCTAGAGATCTTCCATTTTTATGTACTCCTGAAAAAAAGAGAAGTATTTAAGTCGAAAATAAGCGACTTTTAAAAGATATGATCGTAAGATGAAAAGAAAGTTTAAAACACAAGAAGGTAATAGGTTAATGTACACGCTAACCCAAAACATTTTCATCTGATATTTTATATAAAAAAACAGAAGACAATTGTTGCTTCTGAGGGGACGCTAACATCACTTCAAACACGACATAGATCACCATAGAAACTGTATGTTTCTCTGTTAACACGTCAGTCAGGTAGTATACACAGCCTTGAGGGTCTATTACACAATGTAACGTGATGTCGTCGATGACGGTGTGATAATTAACAACAGCTGGTATTGATTCTGTCTGTTATATCAAGAGATGCAAATTTGCTTCTGGATTATGAAAGGAACTTTAATGGTTCTTTTTATTACCTGTGACATTTCGCTCTCGGTGACTGATAAGTGTAATATATTTCCTTTTAAACATACAAACATTTTAACATTCTTTATGTAATACATAAATATCACTAGACGAGTTTGTTCATATTGTACAGCGCGAGTAGTTTATTGGTCCATTAACAGCTGGGTTCATTTTAAGGCGGCATTGCCTTACAGCACCTAAAAAGACAACATGCGAGCGGTCAGCATCACGTTATCCAGAGTATGGGTAATGTGTCCGGAAGACACGACCATAACAGACTAGGGCGGTCCGTCATTCGCCCCGAGAGGGGAATGAAACCACAGCCCCGTTATCTTCACTTGTCTAACGATTGAGCCATCTCATATCTTATTTGATTGAGTAAGACTACAATGAATCCATTGATGTCTTTTCTTACTGAGCGACACACTGTGTGTACCCATTGATAATCTCCAGATGCTTCCCTTGTCCATGAGTCACAGAAATAGATACACGTACAATTGATTTCAAGCACGTGTGATCTGGATTCAAACGTCCACCGAGTTCGAGGCAAAGACAAATAATATTGCATATATCTCCCTATTTCACCTTGTAGCACAGGGCTGAGATGCGAGGCCAAAAGGGGGAATATTGGACTGGTAGGTGGTTGGGATTTAAAATGGTAATAATGGAAGGGCTGATCTTCCAGGGGACTGAGATACAGGGGTGAAGAAAGGATATGTAGCATATTCTTTAAAATCCTTCATCTGTAGGACTAGCAGGAAATTGGGTCTGAAGCATCCTTTGGTGAAGTTCACTCAATTTTGTGTAAACAGTAAGTCTGACCCCCTCTCCCCACCCTCTCCTAGTGACCGAGGTGAGGGGTCCAATGGTTAAATAGAGAAATTATTTGAAATCCCTCCAGATTTCGTCGATTGAAGAATATCAGTAGTCAGACTTCAACATGATTTCCAGGCGAGGTTTCGACATTATAGATTTGCAGAGGTATTAATTTGTGTGGATCATTAGATTCCCTCGAGAAATAGTCTTCATTCCAACAGGTAAAAGTATTCGGAAAACAGCTAATTGTGTTATCACAATGAGAATAGCAAAATTCGACACTAGCACAATGTGAGTTTGAAAATCTCGAGTCACGGATGTCGCATTTCAAGTTTTGAAGCACAAGTTCCACATTGTCAAATATGGAACTGCAATATAACAAGCCGCATTTATATCATTGCTAAAATATGATTTTAATGTGTTCGAACTGCAACGGCATACCTCTTCTTAGTGGAGACAACAGAATTGCAATGTCAGTATTTTGACCCTCTCGGTCGTCCATATGATCCTTGTGCGTTTTGTACAATTCTTATTTAGATGAATGTAACGTTTGGAATTACAATTTCAGGTGTAAGTATACTACAACTCCAACTTGATTGATAATACTTAACACCAATCTTAAAGGAAAACACCCGGTATTCCATATTGAACCAAGCATCATACGCAATTTATTTCGAAAAGATATCTTGTTCATTCATTTTTTTTCAATTGCAGGATCCCAGAGATATTGTGTACGCCGTTATCAGCACGAGTGGTCTAAAGACAATCTCATACCTCGCGAAATCGTCAAATTCATTTCAAGTGCATTTGTTTCCAACATGGTGTTCGCGAGGACCAAAGCGTTTGAATTATGCAGTGTGTCTATGGAAATGTGAGCGGCTATATGTACAGTGGTAAACTACAGTGGGCGACGTAATTTTTATCTGTGTATATTGTTTAACAACAACACAAAAATGTTGCTGTATTTATAGAAATGTTGTCAGAAATGTGTAGCTGAAAGACGTGCCCCCCCATGTTTTGTGAATAGTTTGATCTATGTTATACAAGGATAATGAAGAGATGTGGTAAATTACTCGGCTGTAACTTTTTACATTCGAGTGTTTTTTCAGTGTTTTTACTTTTTATAGTGGTTGGAAACATCTACTTTATACCGGGAACAGAACGGCATGTGAGTACATCTATGTACAACCTTCCGCCAAAATTCACATCCAAAACCCCCATTAACTGTTCAACCGGAAGTGCAACCGGAAGTGGAAGTGATAATCGCACCAGTTTAACAATGTTCACGAGTTTTCCATTCGTAAAAAGCAAGTTCGATATCAATTTGAATACGTTACAGAACTGGAAGCATATTTATAAGTCCCCGAAATTAATTCTATTTACAGACGACCAAAGGGTAGTGTCAGCTGGAGTCAGCTCTGATTGGTCGGTTGAAAACGTAACGACAGAATCAGTGACGGAAGTACCTGCTTTAAGAACACTTTTCCTGGAGTCGCAACAGCGATCAAAGTCCTACTTCTATATGTATGCCAATGCAGACATACTGTTTGACAGGTATCTCAGCGAAATCTTATCAGGTATTGAAGTATTTCTGAAATCGAGTCATTTACATAACAAGCCAGTATTAATAGTTGGACAACGAACAAATATCAACATTTCAAGAATAAACAGCCACGGAGTAGAAGCTTGGAAAACGATACTACAAAAGTCCTACACAATATATACAAAGTTCCAGAAGGATGCGATCGATTATTTTATAACAAACAATGTCTTTCCTTGGAGGGACGTTCCGCAGTTGGTTATCGGCCGTGTTGGGTATGATAACTGGATAATTGCGTATGCCCGTTTTAGAGGATTCGTGACGATTGACGCATCTTCAGTCATTTCCGCCATCCATCAAACTAATAATAACGGAAATTTCGAAGGGTTCAAAAACGGTAACTGGGATTTCAATCGCGAACTGATCTGGAAAACTGGCCCCCCTTTTAACTATGCCTTATGGGGCCAAACTGATTGTTGTCCATATCGCGTGATATATGACGACTGTAGTCGCGTGCGGGTTTTGAAACGCCCGGCCGTGCCTTTACATTGTGATAGACTAAATTTGATTTCTTCCATTACACACTATTTATTTGGAAATGACGTATATTACTTGGGACATAAACAAAAATTATGATGTTGTGTTTTGAGAACACGCATTACTGTCGCCACTTGACCAAACCTTCAGTTACTGTAGGTCAACACGCATTACTGTCTCCAATTGACCAAACCAGTTACTGTAGGTCAGCACGCATTACTGTCTCCAATTGACCAAAACTTTAGTTACTGTAGGTCAACACGTATTCCTGTCACCACTTGACCAAATATTCAGTTACTGTAGGTCAACACGTATTATTTTCGACAAATATTCAGTTACTGTAGGTCAACACGTATTATTTTCGACAAATATTCAGTTACTGTAGGTCAACACGTGTTATTTTCTCCCAGTGGACCAAACCTTCAGTTACTGTCTAATATTTTCTAATCTACAAGTTTGCTTGCATTTGTGTAACGTGCGTTTTAAATGAAGTAATTCTTCGCTCTAGATACGTTTATGCTCTCTAAAAGTTTAATTATCTGGCTAGTCATAGAACACAGTGCTAATTTGAGATTGAAAATGGGTTTATAGAAAATTACAAAGAATTGTTTCCGGGTTCGATTCTTTTTACGTCATCTGTTTTGTGACGTTATTCAGTATGTGATGAAATAAAGTTTATAATCAATTTCATGATTTCAACTTTTCTTTTTGGGACAATTCGATCTGTAAATGATAATTCAATAGATAAGATATCCTGTTATCATCATATACCTATCATTTAGACAAAGTATTCCATTGGAAACAAATTATGCTCAAATGTGTAATTTCCCTGAATTATGTATAGTAATCTTTACCCTGCTTAAAGTCAAACAAGAAGCTGAGGGCTTATCAAGTTCACACTTAAGCTTAAGATTTTTTCACTTGTGAAGAGAAGTTGTTTTCTGTGTAATTTGTTCTCGAGAATAGGATTGTTGAAGTTTTAAGTCAATTTAGACCCCTTCAGGGCTCCGCCTCTTGAGTCTCTGGGGATGAACTAGGGTCAAAACTACATCTCCAGATTGAATAATCAATGGCGTTTGAATGGTTTTCAATTGAAAAAGAACAAAATTTACTAAAAAGTTTCACTTTTCTATACAGAATACAGTAAGATTCACTCTCCCTAGTAAATATGGAGTCCGGTTTTAAAGGTCCTTAAGACGTTCCCATCTAGTAAAAGTATTTAACTCTACCTTACATGGTTCTGAAAAGAATCAGTCAAAGTGACTATTTTGACTCTACCCCTCAAATTCCCTGGAGGCGAAGACCATATAATTAGCAATGCAGGTTCAAAATTTTATTGAAATTGGTTAATGGGGTGTTCGAGAAGGGGGAAAATATGTTAACCATTTCTGCACACGACAGATGTGGCCTGACGCACCATGGACGCTGTACGATAGCAAACAAATGACGAAAAGGCGATTAAAATAACTGGTCACTTAAAGCTTTGTCTGGGATGAGCTGCAGATAACCGGGGTCGAAACACTATTGTTGCTAAATGTCGCCATCCTAAACCAATAAAAACAAATTGTGAGAACCATTTAATTTTTATCAAGGCTTGACTTCATGCACATAAATTACACACGCGACCTTTCCAATAAGACTGATAATGTTTAATTTATCAATACTTGTACATGATAACTAAGTCATATGTTATGGACACAGATAACTGACAGTTCCGTATCTACACATTTCATTGAAAACGGCTGCTACCGATACATTCGATCTTTGTAACGTTTCACTGAAACAACCAAATGGTATTCAACATTGATTTTTAATGTTCTTTCATTCTCATGTTTTAGCTGAAAAAATCCTCATTACAGTCACACATGCACACTAATATTTCTAACATACATCCCAGTGGTAATCCGTTAGACACTAATATTACTAACACATACCCCAGTGGGAACCCGTTATACCCTAATATTACTAACACATACCCCAGTGGGAACGCGTTATACACTAATATTATTAACATATACCACAGTGGGAACCCGTTATACCCTAATATAACTAACATATACCCCAGTGGGAACCCGTTATACCCTAATATTACTAACATATACCCCAGTGGGAACCCGTTATACACTAATATAACTAACATATACCCCAGTGGGAACCCGTTATACACTAATATTATTAACATATACCACAGTGGGAACCCGTTATACCCTAATATTACTAACATATACCACAGTGGGAACCCGTTATACCCTAATATTACTAACATATACCACAGTGGGAACCCGTTATACCCTAATATTACTAACATATACCACAGTGGGAACCCGTTATACCCTAATATAACTAACATATACCCCAGTGGGAACCCGTTATACCCCAATATTACTAACATATACCCCAGTGGGAACCCGTTATACCCCAATATTACTAACATATACCCCAGTGGGAACCCGTTATACCCCAATATTACTAACATATACCCCAGTGGGAACCCGTTATACCCCAATATTACTAACATATACCCCAGTGGGAACCCGTTATACACTAATATTACTAACATATACCACAGTGGGAACCCGTTATACCCTAATATAACTAACATATACCCCAGTGGGAACCCGTTATACACTAGTATAACTAACATATACCCCAGTGGGAACCCGTTATACACTAATATTTCTAACATATACCCCAGTGGGAACGCGTTATACCCTAATATTACTAACATATACCCCAGTGGGAACCCGTTATACCCTAATATTACTAACATATACCACAGTGGGAACCCGTTATACCCTAATATTACTAACATATACCACAGTGGGAACCCGTTATACCCTAATATAACTAACATATACCCCAGTGGGAACCCGTTATACCCTAATATTACTAACATATACCCCAGTGGGAACCCGTTATACCCTAATATTACTAACATATACCCCAGTGGGAACCCGTTATACCCTAATATTACTAACATATACCCCAGTGGGAACCCGTTATACCCTAATATTACTAACATATACCCCAGTGGGAACCCCTTTCACACTAGCATCTCTTACTTGAGCCGATTGTAGTTTAATGTGTAGATGTAATTTAAACTGCGTTTCGTTTTACAATAACTCATGGTCATGTGAATATTGTAAATGATAGTGTTGATACCCTTAAGTTATGTGCACACGCTTCTACTACAAAACTAAAGACCTTTAAAAAGAATATTTGCACTTCAAGTTTCACATAAGTCTGAATTAATGAATGTGAAAGTGAGCATACCTGAGCTGAAAGTTCACGGCGCCGTTTACGTCTTTGCTAATCAGCTTTACCAAAGCATTCATTCAGGTACATATCAGTTATCTGTTATGTTTTTTTTTTATTTTGAAGTCATCCATCTTTTTAAATATTGTGTTAAGTGACCATGAAAATTCTGCTCTCAAACAGGATTTTCCTAATGCTATGTTTCGGTGTATCTGATTTGTATGATGTCCGAAAAACGGGCTGACAAAACAGTGTAACAAGCGGCACGTTTTCGTCAACAAAATATGTACGAACACATTTTGTGTCACAAACGTGTAGTTAGTAACAGAATTTTTACTCAAATACATATTTTGTCACTCAGTTGTTATTTTTGTTGCCAATGGCTCAAAGAAAATATGTAATTATTCGAAGCAAATAAGCATATTGCAGATGTATCAACATCACAATTCTGAGGCTAAATGTCAGCTGATGACAGACAATGGGCATGCAGACAGAACTTCCACAAATTACCATGTGCACTTTAAACATTGTATATTCTTTCATAATAATTTATAATACCATTTTGAGTTTGTACAGATAGGAGTTTATGCTGTAAACATCAGCAATGTTTTACACCAGAAGTCTGCTCAGGTTAACATTCCACAATACTTTCAAAGCAGAAACACTCTTGTAACGTCCTACAGTTGCTCTAAGCCCATTGCATCAAAACTTTGCAACTTCAAACAAACGGTGCAGCAACTGGATGTAGATGACGTCAGCACTAATCTTCCGTCAGCCTGTTCTTGTTCTACCTCTGCTTATAACTAAGGTCCAACTGGTGAGTTAAGCATTATTATAAATATTAAGCTACGAGAGCTTTTCAAGAAAGGTCCTATGTAGCGTGAAACCCCGTCCGTTAATTTGGATGTGAATTTCAAGATATTTATGGATTCTGTTGAAAACTATGCCAACGAATGGGCGAAACGAGAACATGCTTTGTTGGATTTATTTTCTGAGTGGGTTAAGTCTATTGGGTCCATCATTAATAAAAAAAATTGCAGCTTGAAATCGGAAATGAAAACAAAACACAGGTTCGCTTTCCTCGATCCTCATGTTAAATCCACACTTCAATATTTACATGGCAGGTATGTAATTGTGCCTGCAGGTACGGCGTCCAATAACTTGATCTTTGTCTGCAAACATTATTACATTTCCTGGATATAAAAAGAACTGGACTTGCTTGATAACGAAGGAAACCCCACCTATAAATTATGCAATCTTTCAAAAGATAAGATACTGACTAAGCCTGGTCCGGTATTACAATCCTTTAGATTGCCTGTTGCTGATAAGGATACGGACCTCCCCGGTTTATATTATATATTAACTTCACAATGTTTTATTGCTAGCTCGTTTAACTATTCAAACAAGCCTTTGTCAAAACAACTAACCACCATTCTAAGTCCTATGAGATCTGGGGTATGGACTTATTGTGATACTCAAAAGTGGAATTAATAGTATGTGGATTTTTAAGAACTTCAAAGAGCTTTTGACCAATCTTCAACACCCTCTTCTAAAAACATTTCTTCTATAAGAACATTTGATTTTTCCACCCTTTACACCACCATACCCCGATTCGAAACTCAGGGAACTCTTCGTTCTCTTGTTATGAGAGCTTTCTTCTCCAAGAAAGGTGAACGGCGATATAAATATATTGTTATGAACTATACCGAGGCACATCAAAATCAAAGAATAAATCTGAATGAAATCATAAAACGATAGAGATTTTGGTTAACAACATCATCGTCGAGTATGGTGGTAAGATCTTCAAACAGACTTTTGGCAAACCTATGGGAACCAACTGCGACCCTCTGTTGGCTGACTTGTTTTTGTTTTCATACGAGGCTGAATTTTTTGAAGAGCTTATCAAAACAGGTTACAAATACCTTGCCAAGTCGTTTAATTTAAACTTCAGATATATTGCTGAAGTTTTGTCTTTAGGTAACAAGAAATTTATTGCCTACATCCATCGTGTACATCCACCAGAACTGGAAATAGAAAAGATGCGACAGACTCTTCTACATCAGCTGCTTATCTCGAACTTTTCATACAACAAAACCAACATGGACAGCTTCCTATCAAGTCGTATGATAAATGTGTTCATTTCAATTTCTCTATTGTGAATTTTCAATTTCTAGATAGCAATATACCGGCATCTCCAACTTGTGGAGACGCTTTTCGTGCAAGAAGTCGTCAACTGACCGACAAACTCGTAACACAATGGTTCAAAAGATGCAAGTTAACGAAAATTATGTGGAAGTTTTATGGTCATCAGTGATTTCATTGACAAAAATTCTATTTTGTGCGACATGAAGCTGGACGTATATGATGCTCGTTAGTTTGCCTGTTTTCGGATACCTTGTTCTAATTTTAGAACGTGACATAACTTACTTGGGTTGACCAGAGTTTACTTGGCGGGTGTCGTCGATGAAGCAGAAGACGCTTACTCTTCCGGAACACTTGGTCTTATTCTCCTTGAATTTTTCAGGTGTGTTCGTGTAAACCTTTCTTTTGTTCATATTTTGCTCTAGTTTTAGAGCATTCGAGTTTGAATTATGATTATGTTGCTATGTTTGTATTTTCTTGATATTTTTTTTGCACACATTAAAGAAATAAATATATAAAAAACGAAAATAATTACCTGTGCAACATGGCAAAACAAAGCAGGTCAGTATGGTGAATCAGAAAGTTCATTCCAGGTTTAGACTTCTGAAATAACGTGCCAACTCTCAATGTCAGGTTCCATTTTTTATTACTTCTGATAATTTAATGACAAATGATATTAAGCAGTTTTCATTGTATAATTCAAAACCTTACCATATTTAATAAATTTTCTTTCTCGAATGAATTTCAAAATGAAGCCCATACCAAAATTAACTCTGGGTCATATTATGCTTGCTCAGACTAGCCAAGATGTAGTTTGTCGTTGACCAAAGGTCATGAAAGTCATTAAGGAGCTGATTTAAAATTACATACTGCTGTAAGGCCTAGGGTTAGGGATAGGGAAAACAGAGCTGTTGAGCTGTGACTATAGAGGCTCTGATCTCTGACGCTGATCAAGGACAGCTTTATACGGACACCCATCACTACAACACAATGTACTCGATGACATTCTGTCACATCCACTTTAACTAGTCCAAAGTGGACAGAAGTACTGAAATGATGGCATGACCATGTATGTTTTATCATCTTCATCGTAGCAGGTTTCATCCGGAATACCTATGTGTCACCATACTGGTGCAGGCCTCATCGTGAATACCTATGTGCAACTGTACTGGTGCAGGTCTCGTCCTTAGTACCTAGGTGTCACCGTACTGGAGCAGGTCTTATCGTGAGTACCTAGGTGTCACCGTACTGGAGCAGGCCTCATCGTGAGTACCTATGTGCCACCGTACTGGAGCAGGCCTCAACTTCTGAAAACTATGTGCCGCCGTACTGGTGCAGGCCTCATCATGAGTACCTATGTGTCACCGTACTTGAGCAGGCCTCATCGTGAGTACCTATGTGCCACCGTACTTGAGCACGTCTCATCGTGAGTACCTATGTGCCACCGTACTGGAGCAGGCCTCAACTTGAGAAATTATGTGCCGCCGTACTGGTGCAGGCCTCATCATGAGTACCTATGTGTCACCGTACTTGAGCAGGCCTCATCGTGAATACCTATGTGCAACCGTACTGGTGCAGGTCTCGTCCTTAGTACCTAGGTGTCACCGTACTGGAGCAGGTCTTATCGTGAGTACCTAGGTGTCACCGTACTGGAGCAGGCCTCATCGTGAGTACCTATGTGCCACCGTACTGGAGCAGGCCTCAACTTCTGAAAACTATGTGCCGCCGTACTGGTGCAGGCCTCATCATGAGTACCTATGTGTCACCGTACTTGAGCAGGCCTCATCGTGAGTACCTATGTGCCACCGTACTTGAGCACGTCTCATCGTGAGTACCTATGTGCCACCGTACTGGAGCAGGCCTCAACTTGAGAAATTATGTGCCGCCGTACTGGTGCAGGCCTCATCATGAGTACCTATGTGTCACCGTACTTGAGCAGGTCTCATCGTGAGTACCTATGTGCAACCGTACTGGAGCACGTCTCATCGTGAGTACCTATGTGCCACCGTACTGGAGCAGGCCTCATCGTGAGTACCTATGTGCTACCGTACTGGAGCAGGCCTCATCGTGAGTACCTTTGTGTCACCCTACTGGAGCAGACATCATCTTGAGAAACCATTTGCCGCCGTACTGGTGCAGGCCTCATCGTGAGTACCTTTGTGTCACCGTACTGGAGCAGGCCTCATCATGAGTACCTATGTGTCACCGTACTTGAGCAGGTCTCATCGTGAGTACCTATGTGCAACCGTACTGGAGCACGTCTCATCGTGATTACCTATGTGCCACCGTACTGGAGCAGGCCTCATCGTGAGTACCTTTGTGTCACCCTACTGGAGCAGGCCTCATCTTGAGAAACCATTTGCCGCCGTACTGGTGCAGGCCTCATCGTGAGTACCTTTGTGTCACCGTACTGGAGCAGGCCTCATCGTGAGTACCTATGTGTCACCGTACTGGTGCAGGTCTCATCGTGAATACCTATGTGTCACCGTACTGGAGCAGGCCTCACCGTGAGTACCTCTGTGTCACTGTACTGGAGCAGGCCTCATCGCGAGTACCTATGTGTCACCGTACTGGAGCATTACATTTCTCACAACATGTATGTGTGACAACAACTTAGTAATTCATTTTTTCCACATTATAAAACATCCTACATTTTTTGTTTTGTTTACAACAGATTGTGATAGTATCTGGCTTGAATTTTCTCATTTTCTGATATCAGACTCCCATTACATGTTCAGAATCCTAGTTGAGCATTATTGCTGACAAGTCTACCTTTCATTTCCGTTTTTCAGGTGAGGAAAGGGCAAAGTAGTGAAAGGGTGGCATAATTCACCAATTCAAGAATACAATATTCCTACCTTGACAACTTTACCTTCTATTACTATCCAGCGATTTATTATGACTGAAATTTACAATTTCTTTTTTTTCAAATACATCAAGTGTTTCACTTTTTAAGTTTCTTGTACCAACATCATTATCTTTTCCTATTATATAGTGTTATTTAGTACATACAGTAGTAGGCTGATTAGATTTCATATGTCAAACATTTCAAATCATCATCTTTATTTTTTAGTGTACTATCACTTGATTGGCCTCTTAGAGAATTTTGGCTAGCTGTTTACCTGTTGAAGCCAGAGACTGACTGATTTCAAGTGTGATTTTATTGCTTCCAGCCACCACAATCTTGTCTCTTTTGTTCTATTGACTGAAGTCACCACTTCCAGTTTGGTGGACTGTCACTAATTCTGGAACTAAATACTGTAAGTTCCTCAAGATGTTTAGTCGGAATGTTGTTCATCATACTGGGTGTATCTGTATCAAACAGCGGCCAGATTGACACCCTCAAAGCAGGACGTGCTGAACCAAACCTGTCAACAAAAAACATACCTGTTAAACAAAAAACATACCTGCCAACAAAAAACATACCTGTCAAACAAAAAACATACCTGTCAAACAAATAACATACCTGTCAAACAAAACATACCTGTCAACAAAAAACATACCTGTCAAACAAATAACATACCTGTCAAACAAATAACATACCTGTCAACAAAAAACATACCTGTCAACAAAAAACATACCTGTCAAACAAATAACATACCTGTCAAACAAAAAACATACCTGTCAAACAAATAACATACCTGTCAAACAAAAAACATACCTGTCAAACAAAAAACATACCTGTCAAACAAATAACATACCTGTCAAACAAAAAACATACCTGTCAAACAAATAACAAAAATTTAGGCCTAGATTCTATATTCAAATTGCACTTCCTCCCTCTCTTCTTTCTCATCCAACCAAAGTTTGTGTAAATTCAACCAATGCTAAGTTTTAAAGGTGAAATCATAAAGTCATAAATCTCCCCCAACAAATACAACCATAAACTTATGTCAGTTTTTATTGACATTCTTTTTCTAAGTAGATATAGAAGAAATATTGCTTCTAAATGAGTGTGACAGGCTAATACTCGTTCTCCATAGCTTACTGGAATGAGACAAATTAATACCCTACCTGTCCTCAAAAGCTTACTGGAATGAGACAAATTAATACCCTACCTGTCCGCAATAGCTTGCAGGAATGAGACAAATTAATACCCTACCTGTCCGCAATAGCTTGCAGGAATAAGACAAATTAATACCCTACCTGTCCTCAAAAGCTTACTGGAATGAGACAAATTAATACCCTACCTGTCCGCAATAGCTTGCAGGAATGAGACAAATTAATCCCCTTCCTGTCCTTAATAGCTTGCTGGAATGAGACAAATTAATACCCTCCCTGTCCTCAAAAGCTTACTGGAATGAGACAAATCAATACCCTACCTGTCCGCAATAGCTTGCAGGAATAAGACAAATTAATACCCTACCTGTCCTCAAAAGCTTACTGGAATGAGACAAATTAATACCCTATCTGTCCGCAATAGCTTGCAGGAATGAGACAAATTAATACCCTACCTGTCCGCAATAGCTTGCAGGAATGAGACAAATTGATACTCTACCTGTCCTCAAAAGCTTACTGGAATGAGACAAATTAATACCCTACCTGTCCTCAAAAGCTTACTGGAATGAGACAAATCAATACCCTACCTGTCCGCAATAGCTTATTGGAATGAGACAAATTAATCCCCTTCCTGTTCTTAATAGCTTTCTGGAATGAGACAAATTAATACCCTACCTGTCCTCAATAGCTTTCTGGAGTCGTCTACAGTGAGTCTTGTTGGTCTCTGTAAACAATTGTAGAGCAACAAGGGAGGGACGCTGAAAAGAATAAAAACCCATTAATATCCATTGTATATGAAATGAGAGTTAGATGCATATGATAATGCATTGTTCTTTTTTTTTGTTATTGGTATAAAATAATTACAAATAATTTATTTAATAATCCTAGTTTTTATGTTAATGACTGCAGTACATCTTGACTAACTTCGATAATCTGACCACGTTTCATTGCTGAAATATATCTTATTCAAGTTCCAATAAAAGCTGTGCTGGCATTACCCCCACCTCCCATTAACAAACATTCAGTTAAAATTCCATTCATTTTGAATATTCTTAAATTACAGATGATGAGTTGAAGAGTTCAATGAAAAAATCAATTCTACCACACTTATTATTATTGATCACTCTAAATGAATATAAGTATGTATTTATGTTGAAATTCATCACGATTGATGAATATATTGTGTAAGTACAAACATACATACTGGTACTCTTAGTTTTGCAAAAGACTCCTTCATACAACTAAACTAGTGTCATTATTGTGTCTGGTTTACACAGGTCTAAAAAGTTGCATACTAGGAGGGATAACAGGATAATTGTGAACACATTTCAATTTCATTACCTACAAATTAAAAAAACAAGATGCCTAAAGGCTAATCTGGTATTCGATGTTCATCAAAAATAGAAATGGTATTTATCACAAATATATAGACATGTACACAACTGGCACTCACAGTGGGCAAATCCAATCAATTTTAACCAATTTCTATAACAAATGGCTTCTAATACTCAACTCTAAACAGTGACAGCTATCACCTGGATTATAAGTATTTGCTATTTCTTTTTCTTTTGATTTGTCATCCTTGGAACCTAACACGTGAATACTTTACTTAAAAGCCTTTTGGTTTATCAGAAAAAATCTTTTAAAGGTTTTAATAATTTGACCCCTGTGATTTGGAATATGACTTACCATGTCATTTCTCTTTTTGAAATCTTTGTCCAGCTTAATCCCAGAGATCTACCAGATAAAATGCATACTTCTGGGCCTTTTGGGTACTCAGAAGTAGTTTAAAGGTTTGAACAAATTTGACCTCTGTGACCTTGAATAAAGGTCATGGTCATTTCTTTTTGCAAACTTTGTTGGACCTCATCATGGGAACACAACAGCGAAATACCATGGTTCTACACCTTTTGGTTTGTCAGAAGAGGTTGTTTTAACTTTTAACAAATTCAACCACTGTGACCTTAAATGCTTTTCCTAAATCTTCAATGAACGATTGATACACAGCAGCATTTCAGATAAAGTAATATACAAGAGGCCCATGGGGCCTTAACTGTCATCTATCTGTAAAGATTTACATATGATAGAGGTCAAAAACCTATTCCACAGTACTCTACTTACAAAGAAGATTTTGTTCATTAAAACAATTTTTTGGCAAACTTGAAATCCTGTTCCTTTTACATGTACCTATTGGATGTCACAAGTTGTGATAACTAACCTCAACAACATCACAACTTTTGATAACACACATCAAGAAAGTCATGGTTAGAATGGACATCACAAGTTGTGATAGCAAATATCAACAACGTCACCTTTAAAATGAATGTCAAAAGTTGCGTTATAAACAACATCAGCAAAGTCATGAATGCAATATGTTCAGACTAACACACAGAAGTTACTTACATTGGCAACAAGGGATATAACAGAGGCAGAGTCTATTGTTCCACCGGATGACATAACACACAGACGTTGTAAAGTCTGGCAAGACTGAGCTGCCTTGCAGAAATGGGAGTCAACTGACAGGTAACCATGCTCTACCCTGTAATGTAAGTCAAATATTTACCATGTGTATATATGTGAACAACATCACATCAAAAGGAAAGCTGGAAATCAGGTCTCACCTGTACACCACCTCAGTAACACACTTATAGTAATATAACATAAAGTATAATAAACTTTGATGTTGAGATGCAAAAAAAATACAAAAAACTCTAACAAGACATTTACCACCCAAAGTAGCTTTTACACATTTATTACTGGTAAATTGTACACATGCTTATACTTTATTTAAAAAGATTTGACAAATGCTGAAAGATGGCAAGCTTCAGGAATAGTTCAATGTTTTATGACATACAGACAAGTAGCTGCTAGTTTTAATGTCAGCCATTCTGTTATGTCACAGTTAATGCAGAATGTGAACCAAACCAGGTCTGGCAGACCACAAGAGACTACACATGAAAAAACCTGTAATGCACATCAAACCTATTGGCTTCTTGTATCACCATACCAAATTTGAAAGGAATTGATCAGAGAATTAAACAGTTGTTGCCTTTCCTACACAATGTCCATATTTACTAATAAAAGAGGCTCAAGTCTGTTAGCATGATACCGAAACAGACAGTGATTGGGCAAATACAAAAGGATTATTAATGTAAACACAAAACAAACAAAAATTGAAAACACAAAACAAAGTAGGATATCTGGAAATAGATCAAAATTATATATAGTATGGAGCCAGACTCTGATATAAGGCCACTGTTCACGCAAATGTAACTTACTGATCAAAGTTATCTTGTTGGAAAAGAGTCTATTATTCACACCGCTAACTATATAATTATTATTATCACTATACAATGGCTGTTGACAGTATATACATCTTAGTCAGATTAGTATGTCATGATAAGATAGTCATCACTGTTTAATATTTTATATTGCTTCAATGATACATTTGTCTATCTTTTACTCTACAACTTTAGAAAATACCATCTCTTCATCACTGATGTTAAACACAAAGTGTTACAAATCATTGACAACCTCAGACAGTGACCAGCCTAAATGTACCAAACCTTGTGTGATGATAAATATTAAATATCAGGGTCTATTTATTTTGGATCTACTGGATAAATCATTTTACCTGAGATCTTTGAGAGCTTTAAATTCTGGCAAGGACTGGCAAAGTTGGCGGGCAAAATTAGGGTGTCCCATCAGCCCTATGTAAGCAATGTGGAGGCGTTCAAGGAACTGACAGCCTGTTGCTATAGCAACCAGACATGATCCTGTCATGATACCTGTAAATACAAGTGTAAACCTTCATATTTTTTGAAGATATAATCACAGCCTGGTAGCTTCAATGTGAATAATAAACAGATATATGCATTGACTTTCCATCATTGCATAGTTCTTCACAGTCCTCTTATGCCAGCTGATACCTTTCAAAGCACTGTCTGGCTTTAAAACACAACAGAACACGAAGTATGTAAACAGTGAATGAACTTAAAAGAATAGATCCCCCTTATTCTGTGGTATCCTTCACAATGATTATTCTGATTTCGAACTGGAATTTGATCAAGCTGACAGCCAGTGAAATGTTGTTAGTGATTATGTTACTACCAAGGCAGATATAATTAACTGTAAATGTTTTATTTTACATGTGTTTTCTAACGTTATACATTATATTAAACATTACAAAATAGTATACAGGTAATTTAACAAGATGGTTTGTCTCTTCCTACCTCTCTATAAGAGAAAACATTCTTGACCTATGTATATGTTCCCATGCAAATAAGCAAGAGACACCCAGATTGGGTCTACATCACATTCACTTTCCCTACATATCATACAAGAGGCCCAAGGGCCTTAACAGACATCTGAGTTACAATGCCGTCGATCTTGTAACATGTCATAGAAATAACCTTGTTAACAGAGTAAGACCACTTGAACTGCAATGTAAACTGTGAATAACATCAACTGCCATCCCATGCTAAAGTTAATGAATAGATCTTTGAAATTTGAGTCAATTTTGCCCCTTTAGACCTTATTCATTATTCCCTGGGGGTCAGTAAGGATCAATGTGTGCATATTATGAAAATGCCATCTTAAGTTATAATTGTGACTTAATTTGAATTTTTTCAAATAAAAAAGACAGAAAAAAATATGATCTATAATGTAACTTTCCTACATAAAGTATTGTAAACATTACCTTCTCCCCAAGGGGAAATGTGAGACCCTGACAACATGAACTTTACAATTTTGGCAAAGCAGTTCAAGACATTTCCATTCTTCCATACATGAACAGTATTTAATTCTACATTATCTGGGTATGGAGAAGAAGATTTTTGAAACTTCAATAAATTTAACACATTTTGGCCCCATCCTTCAGGCACCTGGGGGTGGGAACAATATAATTTGGTGCACCTTTGGCCATTGAAGACTTCTGCAAACTTTCACTGAAATCAGTTAAGGGGTTTTCCAGAAGAAGTAAAAAATGTTAAAGTTTATGATGCTCAATGCCCGATAAAAGGTGATTGAGACTTGTCTCAAGGGAAATAAAAAGTCAATAAAAATCAGTATTTCTTAACAGGAAAGCCCATTTCCCACCAAAGCTATCAAAAAATAGCATGATCTATTATATCTTTGTTACTGACAAGTTGTTTAAAGACTTAAGTACATATGACCCCTGTAACCTTGAAAGTGGGTCAAGGTCTACATTAAAAAAAGAGGCACACAGGGTCTGAATCAATTACTTGTTCTGTTGCTTACACAGAAGACTGTCGGGTTTTTAAAGTTAAATTTTACAAACATAAAAGCCTCTTCATCCAGCATGTTACTACACCATGACTCATCATCAATTAATTAAGGCTGGGTCAAAGCCATTTATTTGAACAACTTGGTAGCACTTTGTCCCTGCATACAACAGGACCCATATAGAACTCTGCACACCTTGGTTACTGTGAAGAAGTCATTTACATATCTTACAAATTTAATCACTGTGACCCTGAAGTGGGTAAATTTCATTCATATTATCACACTTGGTATCCCTTCATCCCACCATGCTAGATAAACAATATCCACCATTGGCCATTGGATTATTAAGAAGAAAAGTTTTAAGAATTTTTTTTCAGATTTGGCCTAATGTTACCTAAACATTGATCAAGGTCAATCAATTGCATTAAATTTGTAACTCTTCATCCCAGAATGCTATGGAACCTATATCAGTACTCTGGGCCTTCTGGTTATCCTCTTCAACCTTAAAAGCTGGACAAGGTCATTCATTAAAACAAACTTGGTATCACTTCCCTTCAGCATGCTACAGAACTCATATCAGTATCCTGAAAAGCAATTCTTCCCAGCATGCTAGTGAACCAATAACAGTACCTAAAACATTTGGTTATTGCTAAAAAGTCTTTTAAAGTTTTTAACACATATCACCCTTGTGACCTTGATGAAATCATTTAAACATATTTGACCCTGTAACCTTGAAAGCTGGCCAAGGTCAATCATTAAAACAAACTTGGTATCACTTCCCTTCAGCATGCTACAGAACTCATATCAGTATCCTGAAAACTTTGGTTATTAAGAGGTCTTTTAAAGATTTTAACACATGTGACCAATATGACCTTGACAATTGGTCAAGGTCAATTATTTGAACAAACTTGGTAACACTTCATCCTTGCATGTTACAGTGCCAATATCAGAACCCTGCACTTTTTGGGCAGGTGAGCTTAATTGTCTTTAGACATAAATGTCCCATGCATGCAAGTATCAGTTGATGAATTTGCGTAAGTGTCTGAGTGACATTTGATCCTCTATCTTGACCAAGTGTAGAAAATTATGATTCTGAGGCACACAAACTAGAAGTGTTGAGAGATTCTCAAGATATGACAATAGTTAACATAACCTACCAGGAAGGCCAGCTAGCTGGAGGTATTTAAGGTGTTTCCATTTACGGATACAGAACAGTCTTTGGTCATTAAGAGCTGCTGATTCTGAACTGAAATAAGAAAAAAGATTGAAAATACAGATATTGGAGCATAGACACTTATCAATGTGACAACATGGAAACAACAAAGAACACTATCTGACCTAGCTGAACTCTGATCAGTTTGGAAAGATATTGTTAGGGTTTATTCATGGGTTAGATGGTTTTATTATTAAGACAAGTGATCCCAGAGGGATCTTGGTGCCAAGCCAGAGAAATAGAAACAATAACATTAATGCGTCAAATCCATGATTGTTGCCTTTCTGCCCGCTAAAATAAAATAAAATCAAAAGAGCACAACTTGGGATAAAGGGAAACTGACTTATGATATTTGGGAAAGATCCATTAACAACTTCTTGAAAAACAGAATAACAAACAAAAGAGGCAAAAGGGGCCTGCACTGCTCACCAGGCTAATTCAGCTATTCAGTCATTTAACAAGGAATTTCAAATATGACAAAACATTTCTAAAATAATTTCCAAGTTGGGTCCCGACCTTGTTATCAAACAGAAGTTTGATTCACCGATTTGGGACAGAATCAAGGCATTCATACAAAAGAGGGATTTTTGAAAATTTCTTTAATTTCCACTATTTGGCCCTATCTCAGAGAGTCGACGCCCTCTATTTATACAAAACTAATTTCCCTTCACCCAAGTATGCTTCGGATCAAACAAGAACAGAATCCACAAAAAAAAGATTTTAAGGGATTTCCTCTTTTTGGCCCCCATCCCTCAGGCTCCTAGAGACCAAGAAAAAGTATTTACACAAACAAGATTCTCTTCCCAAAGGATGCCTCAGATCAAATTTGGTCAAACTATGTTCAGTTGTTCATGACAAGTAGCATTTTTGGTATAAAGCTGACCGACCATAGCCGATGGATGCCATGCTTTGGAATAAGTTCAATAGGCCTTTGGACCAGATGAGCTGAAAACATTTATTGTCAAAATCTAAGATGGCCAAAATCAGTAAGATACAATTCATGACCAAAGGATCCCTACATGCAAAATTTGAGAAAGGTCAATCAAGTGCTTCTAAGAAACTTTCATTGCAAAATTGCAAGATGCCCATATGTCAGTCATTTCTTTTTCCAACTGATCTTGAATTCTGAAGGGCACAACTAGGGGCCAAGGAGAGCCTATCTACAAAAATTTGAAAAAAAATACTTTCCCTAATTCTCAATGAAAAGTGATCATAAAATTTCATTGTCAAAATCAAAGATGGTCACCTGTCGGACACTGCTTTTCTAGTCTTTCCTAAAACTAAAAAATTTAAGAAAGATCCATCTAGTATTATAGAAAGAGTCATTACAATCTTTCCTTGTTCAAATCTAAGATGTCCTATCACTGACTTATTATTTCTATGTAATACAAAAACAAAAAGGAAATAACTTGCCATCTTTCTCAGGGGAACCTTCATTGGAAATTTGAATAACATCTATCTAGTACTTCTAAATAATAACAACAGCTAGGATGGTTTTATAAGCAGATGAAGGAATGGACAGAAGGATGGACCAATGACAGGCCATGGTTGTCTGGTAATTGGAATAGCATATCCTTACTGATGATGGTGGGCTTAAATAGCAGGGGTATACACAAGAGGTCCTATAGGTAAAATCCCTCACTTGTTTACACAGAAGACTTCAAATGTACTTGTGTTCAAATGACTTCAGAAGAAATCAAACATTTTAAGAAACTTGTTATCCATAAATCATGGTATGTTACAGGACCAATATTGAATATCTGCCTGTTCAACATCAATTTTTCCTTCAAATGACTTCTTCTCATTAACTGAAAGAGTTCTGATATGTACAAATAATGGTCACGGAGGTCAAATGTACAAGTAATGGTCACAGAGGTCAAATGTACAAGTAATGGTCACAGAGGTCAAATGTACAAATAATGGTCATATAGGTCAAATGTACAAGTAATGGTCACAGAGGTCAAATGTACAAGTAATGGTCACAGAGGTCAAATGCACAAATAATGGTCACAGAGGTCAAATGTACAAATAATGGTCACAGAGGTCAAATGTACAAATAACCGTCACAGAGGCTAAATGTACAAATAATGGTCACAGAGGTCAAATGTACAAGTAAAGGTCACAGAGGTCAAATGTACAAATAATGGTCACAGAGGTCAAATGTAAAAACAATGGTCACAGAGGTCAAATGTACAAATAATGTTCACAGAGGATGGCCATCACATAAGGTCACCTGCACTTCAGGCTGGTGAGTTGAAAATACAGCATATATTCATTCAGTTTTTCTGAAGAAGGATACTAACCATGGTTTGTACAGGCACGACTTTGGCATTAGTCCATTGTGACCCTGATGGACTACTGGTCTAGTTAGCCCAGCATTTACCAGTTCAAACTTGACCATCCCTGGACAGCCCCTGACCAAGGATTCCAAACCTCCTGTATCAGGACAATGGTCAATCTCTATGTCATCACAGTCACTTGAGGTAGAGGGAAATGCCTTAGGAAGAAAATAGAACTTCAGTTATAATTATATACTATTTACATGTAAATATAACCTACAGTATTTCTAGGTGTATAGACTGTATGAAGCAGGAAAAATAACAAATTGTCATGTAATCTTGCTTACAAATCATTTTACTTTTTCTTCAACATTCAAGTTTGCAATACTAAATTTTTAAAAAGTACTTGCCAAATTCGTCAACCAATGATGTTCCTGGAATTGGGGAATAATTCTAAAACATTTAAAGCACTGATCCAATTTCAAATTCCAGACAAAATCATCTAGAATTGTTCTAGAGCATTTTTCTTGAACAAATTAACGACATTTCCAGAACACTGATGAATTCGTAACTTATGAGAACAAATTTTATAGACCATCTTAGAAGAATTCAAGAACTTACTATGTCCTGGAAATGTTTTAAGAATTCTGATGTTCTTGACAAATCTCCAGAGAGCTTCAGAACAATGTGATAAGGAACCTACTACTGGAGTTTTTCTAAAAATGTTCTGCAACAATTTCTTTTGCGATTGAAGAATAGTCCATAAGAACAAGATGATCAAGGTATTTTGTTGATAAACATTCCATTCAATGCAAGTATCAACCACAACAAGCTCAGGATAAGTTGGTAGTAGGGTTATTAATCTTGTCGACTGGTTTCGCCCAAAATTTATGGGCTTCATCAGGACAACAGATGTATGAAATTTTCCCCTAAAGTACTAAAACTATGGGCACGTTACATTATGACGTACACAATAAGGGTCACATACATGACCTTCCATTATATTCTAACTGCTAGAAGAAGCCTTACCTTTGTACTACTGACCCCAGTTCTCTGCCTCTTCAGTGGAGGGCCTGCTCCACCACAACTTGACATTTCTTTACATTTGGCACTTTGGTAACTACAGCAACAGCAAGATACAGCTAAAGACTTCAAACCTAAAAGAATTAAATTTCAGAAATTGATAGTAAATATTATGTCATGGTATCCAAAAGGTAAACTTTAAGCATGTGTTCTGACTCAAACTTCTTCAATCTCAAGTTTTCTTGATACTTTAAAATCAATAGAAGAGATCTCTGAGGAATCCTAGCACCTAACTTTTATTTGATCTTTGTTTTTTTTGTTTTATCTTTTCCCTTCTTTTCTCCACTTTCTTTTGTTTTTACTTTTAATCATGCCAAATTTGAAAAATGACAATAATGATTTTTAATTGTCAAATTCAAGACTGTAACCTGTCAATAATTTAGCTTTTCTAATTAGACCAAAAAAAAATAGGGCAAACTTGGTAACAAAGTGAACTTATCAGTACTTCACAAGAAATAACAATCTCTCAATGTTAAAATTCAAATTAGTCATCTGTCAACCATGTTGTTTTTCTAGTCAGTCCCAAAATCAAAGGACAATTCAATTATATGTGTTATAAGTATTGTATTTTATTGTATTGTGGTTGAGGTAATTTAATTCGTGAACAACCCTTAACCTTACATCTGATTATTGTGTGCTAAAAATTAACAAACCAACACAAGGAGTTTTCTGCAAAACCTTCAGAAAGACAGTAAAAAGAAAAGGCTTGATGACATTTTCATTGAAGCAATATGATGCTATTTTAACACAATTTACAAATAGACAAAATGACTAATAATTTCAATGGAAAACAAATAGTGAAAAATTTCATAGGAGGCACGTCGCTAACTTACCATGACAGTTGGCCAATAGCTGTGACACCCGTGACGTGACCTCAAGGTCGTGCATGTGTATTCCCCCCAGATTAACTTCAGTCAGAGAATGACATGTAGATACCAGTCTAGAGATTCCTGCCACATCCACCATCTACAAAATTTACAACAGGCTAGCCTGTAAGTGTTATCAGTGTTATGATACCAATCACATGAATGTTTGTTATGATACACAAGTATGATATGACCTTGTGGAGCTATGATTGGCTACCATGTTATCAGTGTTATGATACCAATCACATTTGTTTGAAGTTATCTGATGATGGTGGGCTAAAAATTTTAAGACTTAATTAATCTCATTTTTACAAAACTTCATCCAAGATCTTTATATACTCTCTCATATTTTGTACCTACAGGTAGACCATAAGAATTGTACCTGTTGTCTCCATTGCATGACTGAAGAAGCAACTCTTAGTAAATTTGGGATCTGATTTTTTTCTGTCCTTCCTATACAATTAAGACTTGATAATTCTCCCTACATATAACACAGGATTTGCACCTTAAGGAAGGCTTTAGATTCTGGCCCCAAGCCGAGATATACCAGAGTCTTTGGATTATGGCAACTAGTCTTCAGAAAATAAAAAATTTACATTGACATGAACAGACAGACAATGCCATACCAAAATATGTGTACCATCAAAATGTTTGACAGCTGTTATGCATAGTAGTGAAACAACTGGTTTGCCTATTGTCAGTTCAATGTGACTGGGTGGGCTGTCCCGTTGGCCGTGTCTAAAGCGTTGGCAGTACACTTCATGTATTCAGTTTGGTGCTATCACCAGCATATTGCAGCCTCCAAAAATCACACACACAGGACAAATGCGCTCACCTTGCATTATGACTGAGGGAGGCTGTCCTAAAATTACCATAGCTGTTAATGGGACATTCATATAAAAATAAGAACAATCTCCATATCCAATATTAATCCAACAAATCTATTTCTAATTTTTGTCTGCTGATTTTTTCTTGATATATGTTACTGCAGGAATTTTCTTTTTAAAACCTTGTTCTTAATCAGCTCTGGATACTATACATGTTTTAACTTCAAACAATCAGTTTTCTGGTATAAAATCACACCATTTCAAAGATTATACAAAAGATATACAAGTGAAAAGCAGCATCTAATACAAATTTAGAGTTGGATACAGTAGAGCCAAACAATGAATTAAAACTGCATCATACAGCTGTTTCATCCTTCTAAGACTCGTCAGTGATGCCAAACTGAGGAAAATCTTAAGTGCCAAATTCTAAATTGAAAGGCCCCATAATTCAATACTTTGGTAATTTTCATATAAATATCTGATAATTTTAGAACAATGTCAAGTATATGTGTATATTCTGAACTGTGCTACTATTTGAATGAATTAAGATATGTGGCATGCAGGTTAAGGCAATTAAATCTCTGGAACTAATAGTTCACCAGCAGTGTCTACATGTACCATATTTGGATAAATGTAAAATCTCAGTTCTAACCAAAGGATCAAAGTTGTATTTTTCATATTTTTAGGTATTGACCCATTGGGCACAATTGTCCTATGCAGAAGTGAACCAGAATTCCATCTAGCTCATCCAATTAATTAGGTGTAATTACATAAAATACTGAAATTTGTCATTACAAAAATGCACACAAAGTTCTATCATATAGTATATACTAGTAACAATCAGGTATATAAGTGTGATGTTACATCTGTAGGGTATATAGTTTAGTGTACAGTCATTTACCTCTCTACTTGGGTTGGTGAAGATGATCTGACTATTTCTCAAATTTAAACTCCTCAGATTTGGGCAGACACATATGAGTGATGTAAGATTACTGGTGGGTCCTTCTTCTGATGTGAAGTATGTGTCTGACAAATTCAAGTATTGCAAGTTTGGTTTTGGAACCTCTGGATCAAACACATGTGTAAAAATCTTCTGTATTGAAATACTGGAAATGTCCAAATTTTGTAATAGATATTGTGACTTCCAAAAGATATTCCAAAAATCTGTCTTTATTTCACTCCCAAAGTTTGCAGATGGATTAAGCACAGTAGTCATCTGTAACTGCAGTTTAGCCACAGACAGCAGTGTGCCATAATAAAATATCCTAGCAGCAGGATCTATTGCATAGTTCAGTGAAATTTCCTTCACATTTTTTAAATTTTCAACTTTGTCTACATTGGGTTGTAGGAGTAATTTTGGAAGACCACATCCTAAATTTGGATGACCCAGCACATGGAAGCTCTCCAAGTCTCTACAATGTTCGAAAAATGTGGTTTTCTTCTGTAGGAACTGTACGGAGATAGAGGCTTCTGTCCTAAGAGAAAGTGGCACTTTGAAGTGAATAGTGAGATGCTTGATCCCCATCATTGTAAGCCGAGCAGCATTATTGCCCTCCAATTCTGTATCAAACTCATCCATGTTTGTGACAGTAAAGGCAAATGTTACTAGATTTGGAAGACCACAGAGAATTTTGATTAGTTTCTTGGGAGTTAGACTTATATCTAAAATGTAAAGTTCTTGAAGATTTGTACATCTCTTCAGGGCATTTAAGACACTCTGTCCAGACAGCCAGTAGCAATGACTCAGGTTCAGGCGATGAATGCGAGGACCACCAGCTTGAATATACATTTCAAATGCCTTTTCACTTGTCTTGTAACATCCCTCAAAGTCTGAATTCCTGTAAAGATGAAAGGTTTCAGCAGTTAATCATGTCAGTAAAATTAGTTTTGTTGAAGCATAATTCAAATGACACTGTAATATGTAGAGCATGCACATCTAACTGGTTAGAATTCAACCAAATTTCACACCATATGTGTTGTGAAGAAGCATTTCACATTGAATCAAATAAAACATTTATATAGCATTACTGTTAATGCTTTCATAATTCTAAATATTTCTTTTTTTGTGTGTCGTCTGAATCGGGAGAAATGTGTCGGTGAGATAAATAGTGTACTTGAATATAACAAATAACACCAAGCGTCATTGTGTATCCAAAATAAACACAAAGGTACGTCGTACTTTACTTAATCGTGAATTCTTCGATTGGCAAGTATGGACTATTAATATCGGCTGCTTGACATTTGCTTTGTCATGAAAGGTTCCGAGTATCTATTGCCGATTTAATTTTTTTTTGTAAATAAATTACATGTGCCACATGAAGAAGATCGAGCCTAGAACGCCAGAAACCCCTCCGAACCTGTCATCAGTACACGTTTGTGTATAATATTGTGTCTAGCACAGATTTAAGTGGTGTGAATTACCAGACAAGACTCCTGTCCGATGAAAGACGTCTAAGCATATGATTAACATGGCGCACTGCACACAGATCTTCGCAAGAAAGGAAAGAAAGAATATGCAGCACGATATTGTCTGGTAAAATCTCAAAAGCAGACACCTGGTCCGCCATCTTTAAAGTTGGAAGCGCCATTCGATGCTTTTGAGTTATTGTTTACTCCAGTTCTAAAAGTTAGAGATGTTCCGATGAAGATGGTTGCAACTATTGTACGAAATGGAAAAATAAAAATCCGGATTAGTGTGACGCTGGCTTTTTACGTATGACTAGAGACGTCTCTGGTATGACCAATCAATTAATTTCATACATTATATTTGTCAAATATCAAATCACTCAGCTTTTTATAGCCATTGATCTAGAAAATTTTGGGATGATAATGATAAACAAGGTAGTACTTGTAATTCAGTATTTTTTTGAAATGATCGTTGGTATGTTGTAACACAAACAAACATCAACCTGTTAAGAATCGTTTCTTTGCCCAAATATAATACATATTATACATTACTTGCTGTATTTAAAATACGTCCGAGAGCTACTAGCGTTTTGGATTACGTCTGGATTACGTCAGAGCGATACTTGTTATTTGGATTACGTCAGAGCGATACTTGTTATTTAATTAAACAGTCACTACATGTATCCTGTTTGGAGTCAAGCGATACTTGTTATGTGTTACGTCAGAGCGATACTTTGTTTAATTACAGTCACTACATGTATCCAGAGCGATACTGTGTTATATGTTACGTCAGAAACGTACTTGTATTTGTGTTTACTTTAATTAAACAGTCACTACATGTATCCGAGTAAGGTGTGTTTATATTACTTTAATTAAACAGTCACTACATGTAACTCCGAGTTACTTTAATTAAACAGTCACTACATGATGTGTTTATGTAAACAGTCACTACATGTATCCGAGTATGATGTGTTTGTTACTTTAATTAAACAGTCACTACATGTATCCGAGTAAGGTGTGTTTATGTTACTTTAATTAACAGTCACTACATGTATCCGAGTAAGATGTGTTTGTTACTTTAATTAAACAGTCACTACATGTATCCGAGTAAGATGTGTTTGTTACTTTAATTAAACAGTCACTACATGTATCCGAGTAAGATGTGTTTGTTACTTTAATTAAACAGTCACTACATGTATCCGAGTAAGATGTGTTTATGTTACTTTAATTAAACAGTCACTACATGTATCCGAGTAAGATGTGTTTATGTTACTTTAATTAAACAGTCACTACATGTATCCGAGTAAGATGTGTTATGTTACTTTAATTAAACAGTCACTACATGTAACCGAGTATGATGTGTTTATGTTACTTTAATTAAACAGTCACTACATGTATCCGAGTAAGATGTGTTTGTTACTTTAATTAAACAGTCACTACATGTATCCGAGTAAGATGTGTTTATGTTACTTTAATTAAACAGTCACTACATGTATCCGAGTAAGATGTGTTTATGTTACTTTAATTAAACAGTCACTACATGTATCCGAGTAAGATGTGTTTATGTTACTTTAATTAAACAGTCACTACATGTATCCGAGTAAGATGTGTTTGTTACTTTAATTAAACAGTCACTACATGTATCCGAGTAAGATGTGTTTGTTACTTTAATTAAACAGTCACTACATGTATCCGAGTAAGATGTGTTTATGTTACTTTAATTAAACAGTCACTACATGTATCCGAGTAAGATGTGTTTGTTACTTTAATTAAACAGTCACTACATGTAACCGAGCGAGACGTGTTTGTTACTTTAATTAAACAGTCACTACATGTATCCGAGTAAGATGTGTTTGTTACTTTAATTAAACAGTCACTACATGTATCCGAGTAAGATGTGTTTGTTACTTTAATTAAACAGTCACTACATGTATCCGAGTAAGATGTGTTTATGTTACTTTAATTAAACAGTCACTACATGTATCCGAGTAAGATGTGTTTATGTTACTTTAATTAAACAGTCACTACATGTATCCGAGTAAGATGTGTTTATGTTACTTTAATTAAACAGTCACTACATGTATCCGAGTAAGATGTGTTTGTTACTTTAATTAAACAGTCACTACATGTATCCGAGTAAGATGTGTTTATGTTACTTTAATTAAACAGTCACTACATGTATCCGAGTAAGATGTGTTTATGTTACTTTAATTAAACAGTCACTACATGTATCCGAGTAAGATGTGTTTGTTACTTTAATTAAACAGTCACTACATGTATCCGAGTAAGATGTGTTTATGTTACTTTAATTAAACAGTCACTACATGTATCCGAGTAAGATGTGTTTATGTTACTTTAATTAAACAGTCACTACATGTATCCGAGTAAGATGTGTTTGTTACTTTAATTAAACAGTCACTACATGTATCCGAGTAAGATGTGTTTGTCACTTTAATTAAACAGTCACTACATGTATCCGAGTAAGATGTGTTTATGTTACTTTAATTAAACAGTCACTACATGTATCCGAGTAAGATGTGTTTATGTTACTTTAATTAAACAGTCACTACATGTATCCGAGTAAGATGTGTTTGTTACTTTAATTAAACAGTCACTACATGTATCCGAGTAAGATGTGTTTGTTACTTTAATTAAACAGTCACTACATGTATCCGAGTAAGATGTGTTTATGTTACTTTAATTAAACAGTCACTACATGTATCCGAGTAAGATGTGTTTTATTAAACAGTTACTTTAATTAAACAGTCACTACATGTATCCGAGTAAGATGTGTTTGTTACTTTAATTAAACAGTCACTACATGTATCCGAGTAAGATGTGTTTGTTACTTTAATTAAACAGTCACTACATGTATCCGAGTAAGATGTGTTTATGTTACTTTAATTAAACAGTCACTACATGTATCCGAGTAAGATGTGTTTATGTTACTTTAATTAAACAGTCACTACATGTATCCGAGTAAGATGTGTTTGTTACTTTAATTAAACAGTCACTACATGTATCCGAGTAAGATGTGTTTATGTTACTTTAATTAAACAGTCACTACATGTATCCGAGTAAGATGTGTTTATGTTACTTTAATTAAACAGTCACTACATGTATCCGAGTATGATGTGTTTGTTACTTTAATTAAACAGTCACTTTCATTAACTTTAATTAAACAGTCACTACATGTATCCGAGTAAGATGTGTTTGTTACTTTAATTAAACAGTCACTACATGTATCCGAGTAAGATGTGTTTGTTACTTTAATTAAACAGTCACTACATGTATCCGAGTAAGATGTGTTTATGTTACTTTAATTAAACAGTCACTACATGTATCCGAGTAAGATGTGTTTGTTACTTTAATTAAACAGTCACTACATGTATCCGAGTAAGGTGTGTTTATATTACTTTAATTAAACAGTCACTACATGTATCCGAGTAAGATGTGTTTATGTTACTTTAATTAAACAGTCACTACATGTATCCGAATATAGATGTGTTTGTTACTTTAATTAAACAGTCACTACATGTATCCGTGTAAGATGTATTTGTTACTTTAATTAAACAGTCACTACATGTATCCGAGTAAGATGTGTTTGTTACTTTAATTAAACAGTCACTACATGTATCCGAGTATGATGTGTTTATGTTACTTTCATTAAACAGTCACTACATGTATCCGAGTAAGATGTGTTGTTTGACGGTTTTGTTTTACAATAATTTCACAGCTTTGTAAATTTACTCTGTTAAGGCCTTTCACTAAAGAGCAATCGCTTAGTATATGCCCGTAGTGCAGTGATACACAAAATAACTGGCGGCCATTTTTGTTTCTGAGGAGAAGACATATCTATATGAATAATAAGAAATAACATTTATTTATGGTACACTAATTGGGGAACCTGTTTTTTCAGCTTATAATTATCACTCTTGTTGGCCCGGATGTAAGCTCGATAAGGGTTTTATTGTTGGAGGAAACCGGAATATCCGGGGAAAACCCACGGTATTAGGACAGGTGACCCGTAACCATTTTACGTCCGTTCCGATAATCGAACGAGACACACCTAGATCTATGCTGAGTGGATTTGTTGCCTTATGGGGTCGTGTAGAGCATGAATAAAAAAAACCCAGCATTATACTTGTATAGGTATGATACTTTGAAACACATATAAAATATTATTTCCGGATAATCCGACTTATCGTTAAAATGTTCCACAGAATTTCAGAACATTGTTTTACAGCGTTTCTGTTCTATTATAGGGCGAAAGGTAGTTTTATGTGTATATGTCACAGTAAGGTGGAGCTCATATGACAATATTATTGACACTAAGTATGATGATACTGTTATCCTCAAAGTCCCATCTGAATGGTATTGTCTGGTTAGACATTAAATCTTGTAGAGGCCAGGGTGATCCATATATTCTGTGACCATTTCACGGTTACATATTTGTTTTTAATTATTTAATTATTATTCAGTAAGGTATTATTTGTACCTGCTATATTTATAGTTTTGTGCAAGATGAAAAATCCGGGAAATCTGAACATCATCATGACGTTATGACGTCATCTATGGTGTCATGTGATGGTAATTCTTTTTCAAAATGGCGTCACAAAATCAGAAAGCTGGAGAGATAGTGCAGAGTCATTCGCCAGTAAACGTGATCTGTAGTATACAAAAGAAGTAGCCATCGGATGCAAAACTATCACAGCAACAACAAGTATATAGATTGTTAAATACATTCTAGTAGACGGGATCTGTGGAATGGAAGACACCAAACAAACGTCCAAAGACTACCAGGTGCGCCGAGAACATTGAGGCTGTTCAGAAAATTATATCGGAAACTCCAGATATTTCAGTTAGAAAAGTGCTCGGTGACATTGGAAATAGGATCAGCTGATTCAAACTCCAGCTAGGGAAGTGTTTACATAATGTTATGGTTTAACTTGAAGCTGTTTCCATACAAAGTGCCAGCGATGCAACATTTCAAGGATACCGATGTTACAATGAGACTACAGTTTGGTCATTGAATGACTGACAACATGGATATCACCGATAGCGTATTGTTTTCAGATGAATCCCACTTTTATTTAAATTCACAGCTTAACAAGCAAAACTGTCGTGTATGGGGAAAGGAAAAACCAGACTATTGGAAAGAGAAGCTGCTGCATGATGACAAAATGACGGCCTGGTGTGTGCTCTGTTCGGTCGGACCATTTTTCTTTGAAACAGAAGGTGAAACGACATCGGCAAACAGTGGACGGTATTTAAACATGTTAAAAAGTAAATTCCTTTCCGTATTCAGAAAGAGAGGTATTGATGTTGATGGTGTTTGGTTTCAACAGGATTGACTAACGCCAAAACATCAGGATTTGTGTTAACTTGGCATCAGGAAACATGAGGAGAAAAGCTTCTTTCTTACCGGACAAATTATGTGTGGCCTCCCATTCCCCGGATCTAAACCAACTGGACTTTTTATCTTTTGGGGTTATTTGAAGGACAGAGTGTACAATCCTTGATCTGAAGGACGCAACTGACAATTTTAATTCTCAATTTCAATTCACTTGGCTATTGGAAAAAGTTGGACAAAATTCCGGAACAGGTCTCTGCTACCAGTAAGGATGTACTTCTGTTGGGTGACTTAAATCAAGAAATGTTGAAATTTACTCCAAAGTCACACGTCAAAAGGAATAACATCAATACTATCATAATGTCCTGATGTAATCTTAGTAAATAACGAAAATAATATCTGTTGAGCTAAAAAACAAGTTTGTGAGTGCTAATTATTTTCTACCAGCAATCAGTAAAAAAACAAAAACGAAAAAAGAAGGTATTGGTTCACGAATATTCTTTCATAAGCGCGAAGCTTTCAATTTCCCTATTGTGAAATTTCCATTTCTGGATAGCAACATTGCTTCTTACCAACCTATAGTATTTACATGTCGCAGTTGATTATACATTCAAGGGCCTGATCCCATCATCACGATATTCGTTCAGGAAGTCCTAAACTGACAGACAAACTCGTAACACAACGATTCAAATAACGTTGGTTGTTGGAAATTTCATGGTCACCATAGTGATCTCTTTGAGAAATATTCTATTTCTTTGTACGATATGAGGCTGGACGTATTTGATGCTCGTTAATTTGCCTGTTGGTTCCGTTTTAGTATACCTTGTTCTCATTTGAGAACGTGTCATTACTTACATGGATAGACCAAGATTACTTGGCAGATGTCGTCGATGAAGCAGAAAACGCTTACTCTTTCGAAACACCTGGTCTTATTCTCCTTGTACTTTTTCATGAGTCTCCATGTAATTCTTTCGTTTGTTAATAGTTTGCCCTGGTTTTATGGAATTTGAATTATAACTATGTTGGTATTTTTTTATATGTGGACGTGGTCTGGATACTTTTGACATTACTTTTTTGATGACCCGTTCTTGTTTTCGCAGCATGCCTCTCCCACTTCCCACCTCAATAAACAGATCGAACAGGTTTCGAGACAGATCGATTTTAAAATCTAATCAAAAGATTTTGTTGATGTTTTAATTGTTATATTTCTGACAAAGTAATGAACATTCTGATTCTGAATACATTATCACCGGTGTTTGATTTCTTCGTTTTTCCTTTGGCTTGTCCTTTGAAGACCTTGAATCCGATGTGCGATGGTGTGTACCGCGCGTGTCCATTTCCAAATCAGATGCCCAAGATACTCTCCTTTCAGATGGCATTTCACAGAATTTCTCTGCTGATCTGATTTCAAAAGCAGTGATATGTTCCTTAAAACCTTTCTTTGAGTCACCACAGCAAATCCTTGCCTGTTCCTCCTCGGCTGACGCTGTCGCTACTATGTCAGACTCAAATTTGTCCCGGTTTTCAGAATACATGTAGCTCTTTTCCGTTTCATTTCTCTGGTTCGTTGTGTTTTTCTTAATTTTCATGCAAGATTTGTGAATTTGCGGCGTGTTACTATCGGAACACATACCATCACTGCTGTCCAAATGGGGTGTCTTTTGCTTTAACGGTGACCTGATCACCTCATCTCTATGGATTCCTTCGCCTTTTGTAAGTGCATTCGTCACCTCAAGTTTGCTGCCGTTTGTTTCCAATCGAACAGGGTCGTGGTACGACACGACTTCAAATTCTTTAACATATCTCTGTGGTGTTTCCTGCTCTTTGCTTTCGGCAGTACAACATGGATCCTGGTGACGCACATATTTTGGGTTTGACGCCAGTTTCGATCTCGATGGTTCTGGTAGGACTTGAATAGGCATGGAAAGTTCTTGTCTGTTTAGAAATGACACAGTCCTGTGATCAACCTCAAAAGATGGCGCTAAACACGAGTCTATACCGGATAGTTCCTCAGTATCATAATTGTCCGCGAGGGACACGGATTTCATTTTCCCTTCATTTCGATCTGCCTTCTTTTTGTAGTATTCTTTTATATCTGGGTTCAGGTTTTCGCACACAACTTTTTCTGGAAAAACACAAAAATCATTCCATTCCTTAGGTAACGTAATTGAATTACAGTTTGTTGGCTGGCGAGACTCTGACGTCACAATCAGCTTTCGTCTCGGGACAGGACCTTTTCCAGGTACAACATCTCTTTTCGGTCTTCTACATCCAGCATTAGGGTATTCCGACCTTTCTGTTGCGAGAACCCGCCGTTCACGTGACTTCGACGCATCCCTTCCATCGGAAGGCAGCTTTTCTCGATACCGGTGTTGAGCATTTTCCTCACTCCAGAAGTGATGGAGGGGTACATTTCGGAGGCCAAGTAATGAACTGCTCCGTGGGAGAGGGTAAAGTACTTCCTCAATACCAATAGTGGAAAGGGACCTATAGATTTGCTCATTGACGTCATATTGACTTCTTACGTCCATTGGCGCAGCCAGCCCTTGTCGCTCCATGATGTTGAATACTTTTTGTACGCGATATGACACCTGTAATGATAAAAGCACTTGATTTTACTCAAGTAAGAGAGTAAGAGTGCATTTAGAGCCCTTAATGGATACGAAATGATGATGGGTTTAACTCAAGAATACCTGACACCAAAATGAAGACTCCCGGCCAAAGAATAAGCGTAGAGAAGTTGTGTTAATGAATAGACGAATGAAGGCTATGATACGTACATGTGTGCATGGTGTAAGATTTTATTGATATTTGTATCTGTAAAGTAGGCAGTGTTTCACCTCTGAATTGAATTAAATATGTGACTCCACGTGATGACCACGTGGGTAGATATTGAGCTAGCTACTATAGGTTCACAGAAATACCAAGGGCCAGTCTCCTGTAAACCTGGCAACTCTCTATAACCAACAACCTCTAACCGGTCTCCTGTAAATCTGGCGGCTCTCTTTAACCTACACCCTATAACCAGTCTACTGTAAATCTGGCGTCCCTCTTTAACCTACACCCTCTAACCAGTCTCCTGTAAATCTGGCGGCTCTCTTTAACCTACACCCTATAACCAGTCTACTGTAAATCTGGCGTCTCTCTTTAACCTACACCCTCTAACCAGTCTCCTGTAAATCTGGCGTCTCTCTTTAACCTACAGCCTCTGACCAGTCTCCTCTAAATCTGGCGTCTCTCTTTAACCTACACCCTCTAACCAGTCTCCTGTAAACCTGGCGTCTCTCTTTAACCTACAGCCTCTAACCAGTCTCCTCTCAATCTGGCGTCTCTCTTTAACCTACAGCCTCTGACCAGTCTCCTGTAAACCTGGCGTCTCTCTTTAGCCTACAGCCTCAAACCAGTCTCCTCTAAATCTGGCGTCTCTCTTTAACCTACAGCCTCTAACCAGTCTCCTCTCAATCTGGCGTCCCTCTTTAGCCTACAGCCTCTGACCAGTCTCCTCTAAATCTGGCGTCTCTCTTTAACCTACACCCTCTAACCAGTCTCCTGTAAACCTGGCGTCTCTCTTTAACCTACACCCTCTAACCAGTCTCCTGTAAACCTGGCGGCTCTCTTTAGCCTACGAACTCTAACCAGTCTCCTGTAAACCTGGCGGCTCTCTTTAGCCTACAACCTCTAACCAGTCTCATGTAAATAATAAGATGACCGCTAAAAGAAGATTACCTCTTTACTAAGATTACCGCTAAAGTAAGATTACCACTAAAATAAGATTACCGCTAAAGTAAGATTACCGCTAAAGTAAGATTACCACTAAAATAAGATTACCGCTAAAGTAAGATTACCGCTATAGTAAGATTACCACTAAAGAAAAATTATCCTTGTAATAAGATTACCGCTAAAGTAAGATTACCACTAAAATAAGATTACCGCTAAAGTAAGATTATAGTAAGATTATCCTTGTAATAAGATTACCGCTAAAGTAAGATTATCCTTGTAATAAGATTACCGCTAAAGTAAGATTACCGCTAAAGAAGATTATCCTTGTAATAAGATTACCGCTAAAGAAGATTATCCTTGTAATAAGATTACCGCTAAAGTAAGATTATCCTTGTAATAAGATTACCACTAAAGTAAGATTACCGCTAAAAAAGATTACCGCTAAAATAAGATGATAACTAAAGTAAGAATACCGCTATAATAAAATGACCACTAAAATGAAACTACACATATATTACACATAGCTTACTCTAAAAGAAGATTAACACTAAATATGTACGTTTACAGTATGTGGATCTGTTTGTATTACAGCAAATCGTTCTGAAATTAAAGACGATCCTTGAACGGTCAGTCAATCGGTTATTAAACAATACAGCATTGATTAATATTTCATTCAATAAAATGTTTAGGTTGTTTAAATTTATGTAACTTCATGGAATGTCTGGAACACGTTGGGCTGATTTCGCCAGGATGGGCACTGTTCTTTGCACATCAATACAGTGATTGGAAACCACCGCCCTGGTTAGTCAAACCTACGAAAGTTTTCATTAGGAAATTATACTGTAGTGACTATTTAAGTTCGTGTCAAATTGGTAAATTTCTATATTTCACCGGCAAAAATAGCATTAACATGTGTATTTAAGGAGGCGTTGCTTTTCCTTTATGGTCAAATTTTATTAATTTGTCAGATAACGACGAAACACTGGCATCCAAAATTAAACAGATGGATGAATCATGCCATGTCTAGTGAGTGTTAGGAAATATTCCAAGCTCCGAAACACATAGAGACAAACCAATGTATATTTGTACGGAAATTGACCAACTGACGTCAGAAACTGAAGGGTCACTAATTCTAACTCCAGTTGGTGAATTTCTTAATCTTTTCATTACTCCTTCTCAATACAATAGTATGTATTACTTGAATTCCCTTACCTGTCCAATTATTCCTTTTGACATTTTCAGAAATTTTAGAAATATAGCACGATTTTTGTGATATCGACATATACCATTAGTTATTTTTCTTGTTTTCTTTTTTTTTTTCTACAATTCATTTCTATCTTTTAGGATATGTAGTTTACAAATAAACGACATACTACATGTAGGTATTAATTATGAGTCTGCTCGGCAATTCCTTGAATGTACGTTAAATTTTCATCTAAAGCTATACATTTCCTTACTGTCTGGGAGCGTGAAGCGTGAAGCGTGATTAAAACATCATAGCGAGAAAGCTGTCGACGCCTTCCTTGTCAACACTCTGGCTGATAAAACCAGGTATAGACATCAACAGATGTCTATTTTACTGCTTACCTTCTCTGGTAGAAAACAAACAAACATAGATATACATAAAGATGTAGGGATAAACACAGACTTACCGGCTCTTTTTCCCGCGCTTTTTCCTTTTTCAGCCATCTGGATCTTTTGCTGTGTGAATCACTCCGGAATCTCTGGGGATGTAAAACCACAAATAAAAATTCGCACAAAATATACTCCTTATTGATTCTACTGGATACGTGGGACTGATTAAGCCCTAAAGTGACGCTACCCAAACTGGGACACTTCTCAAATATTTTATTTTGCAATATAAGCGAATATGAAGTATACTAAACAAAAATATGGTATCTATGAATTATTGTTTTATTTTTTGATCAGCCCATGTTTTCTTTGTTGCTTATCATCTCTATTAAAAAAAAAATAAAAAATGAAATTTTAAATATTTTTTCATGTTTTAAACATCGAAAGGTTGTGCTGAAATTATTTTTTCATGATAGATAAGTGACTGAGATGAATGAGAAAGTCGGTTAAATTTTATGAAATATTCAAGATTATGTTGATAATTTCTGTAAACGAACAGAATGAAAGAGGCGTTTTATTTTGGTAACCCTTAACCTGGTATGCCTGGCTGCGTTCTGTTTATAGGCATGTGTGTTGCTGCCATGTGATCAAAGCATGGAATGAAAGCTGGAGGTATACTTTTGTGAAATGTCAAAACAAAATACAGGATTTCCACACTCGATAGAATTTTTTGTACAGTTTTCTTCAAAAATTGTTTTAGTTTGGGCAGCGTCACGTTAACGTTTAATCTCTAACACAAACATTTTACTGTTAATTTCACTCATATTCTCTAAAGATGATCAATGCACAAACAGATAGATATGGCTTTACCTACCGTTGGCGGTTCTACAATCACATCGGTTATAACAATGTTGGATGACATGTTCCTGACGGCTACATGGATACGAAAAAGACCCCGTTCCTAACGCTTATGACGTCATAAAGGTACATGGTTGTCTCCCTTCTCTTGTCGAGTTGTCGCACGGTGGCGATGAAATACCCCGTAGTGGTCTTGGTACAGAGAGGAAGATCTTTGTCTTCTGATGAATAACAGCTTCATTTCACCAGATGAGATGAAAACTTTATTTTCCTCGAGATCAATTGCTATATAATATTCATCTGATTTATGTGTCATTTGCGGGCGCCGACAGATGATATACACCAGATTAAACACTAAGACACATGCAAGTCTTTCAATATTCCAGAATAAACTAAGCAAATACAACACTCATAACAATAGTAATCAGATTAAGATTGACCAAAATCAGTACAGTACAGAAAAGGCTATATTTATGATCACTAACGCTATCGTTCTCTCTACCAAGCAACTTGATTGGTTCCAGAGGAAAAAAACTGGCCAATTACAGGCTGATACGCTCCTTTTGAAGGTTACATACTTCAAAGCCATTACAATATACCGTTATGCGACCTCGAGATTCGTTTGATGTACTTCAATGGATCAAATCTGTCTGTTCGTCTTGTCCACAGAGTGTCGCGCATGGAACCTTCAATTTGCAATGGCATGTTCCAGGGGTGCAGAGAGCGAAAGTTTGTGTAACCTCTGGAGTATCGAGGATGACAGAGAAGTAAAGAAGCTTGTTGTATAATCATTATGAAATTTGTAAACAAAACATCTTCTCTCAGATTAGAGGTCAAGACCCCTCACAGAGTTTAGAGATCCTTTGCTGGCAGTAAGATAATCTGTGATTATCCGGGCATGGATTTTAGTTTGCACATTATACATTAATTTTGAAACTTTCTTTATTGTATATGGAATCCATGTGGTTTCTCCATTTACAATTACTACCAGAACCACAGGGATTTAGCACGAAGTTAAGACCCACGGTCCATGTATATGTATTATAGTGACAAGGGATGCAACTCCCGAGAAGGAAAAAACTGAACATATTTGTTTCCCTTTATGTTTTTGATATTCTAGGGACCGTAGATTTTAGTAGTACATACATTACCTTGAACAGAAATGTTGATGAACGAGGTTGACCAACTATAAACCAAACTGACCTGATGAATTCGACAAAATAGGTAGAAATGGCCAGGTAGACATCTCCCTGTCGGGTTGAAACACCGGCTCTTGACTCTAATGGAGGCTCAATAACCATGATAAATCGCAAAATCTACACTGCTTTCATTCAGTTTGCAAAAAGTCTTTTTATTTCATATCAACATGAAACTAAAAATATTCCTATAAATCTTAATTTAAAAACTTAATAAAAAGTACTTACATCGACCTACTTCTCGTGATTCAATATGTGAAATTGACAATAAAATTACATGTTGAGTTAGAAACAATTGTTCTCTGTAGAGAAATTTTAAAGTACGTGTACATGTTTGTTGATGATGCCAGAGAAAATTTACACCATTTTTTTTATCAATTTTTTGCATACGTTATTTAACCATTCAAGTTCCATATCACTACTGTTTTGTAAACTGTACATCAAATTGTACATAATACTGGACAAATTATTACATGTTATTTACTTATGCCAACACACAATTATTCTACTTTTAACTACAATAGACAAAGGGAATCTGCCAATCTCTCCAGAGATCATAAAATTTTGCGTGTTTCTTCTAACACCTAAAATTTGTTTACAAAATCGCAAATGAATTTTCTCTATAGAACTCAATTTTTAAAACCCCATACCTCTGCTGTATAAAGCATTATAGATACTGCTAGTGAATCAATATTTTCAATCGATGGTCAACAGGTAATAGAATATTTCTGGTTTTCAAATACACTGTAAACCTAGCTTTTTTAGACTGTTCCATTAATCTTGTTCTAGCTTTAAATAATTTTCGTTATAACTTACTGAAACACTAAGATAATATGACTCAATATTACTCTGGTACCCATGGACACCTGGTTGGTTACCGGGCATACCATTGGGAGTATTGGTAGGGGTCGCTGAGTCCGATGGGGAGGGTTGCGTATAGTATACGGGGTGGGAGGCCATGTTGACTGCAGGAGCACCGAACAATTCCCTATGAGCACCAGATATAATGTCACTTGTTGACGAGTACTGCTGACCACAGTACACGATGTTACATATATTAGGCGTGTGTTTACCATATGACCTATGACCATTTACACGTGTCTGTGGGCTATTGTTCGCTAAAGGTGATTTTTTTCTTTTTGCCCATTAATCAAAAACTCTCGTAAGACGAAGAGTTAATTTACATATAAATAATCTTGGCTAATTGTACGTGAGCGAGGATATCCTGGACAATCACATAACATCGGCAGAGAGAGCACAACGTGTGTATACACTATATGTACATGTATAGCTGGAATAGTTAAACAAATGTCCGATTTACACATTCAATAAAACACACCACCATCCAATGTAATTTCACTATATGGATACAAGTCAATATAAGAAGCCACATGCCAACTCATTACTCAGAAGGCAACCGCAATATCATAAAAATGTCTAATTACCTACGGACATGCGTGTCCGTTCAGCTTGACCGCCATGTATAATAAATCTTCGAAATAAAGCGTATGTAATAAACGAAATGTATGATAGAATATAAACGACATTTCCACATAGCGGTAAAGCTATAACCAAAACATATGTATGTTAATGTATGTGAATAGTAACAATCGCTGGAGTTTATTTTAATGTCACGGTTATTTTTCTCTTTTTTTTTCATTTATTTATCTATATGTACAGGTATTTTTCTCTTAATATTATAATGATTTAGGAAACATGTTTAGGTGTAGTGCTAAATCATCCAACATAATAATCTTATCTATTTATACGTGTTTTAGTGTTTAATGAAGTCAAACTTAATTATTCAGTATTTTTCATCAAATACAATTTGCATATTTATTTTAATACCTCAGTCATATAAAGATATGTTGTAAGAAACAGTGATAACTCTCAGGTAATAATCCAGGTAACAAAAGGGCAGTTTATATGTAACAGTATGTAACTGTCATTGTTTCCTAAAACAGCACCATCCTATTGTTGAAAAGATGTTGAAACTCGGAAAAATATCCCCTCTATACATTCCGGTCGTATATATACAATGCAATTTCAAAGGCTTATGAACAGTTTACGACTGACTTTTGTAACCATTGGTGTGAATATATACTAACCGATTCACTTACAGTAAATAAAACAATAATGACGAATCATATTAAGCATTATTGAAGAAGTGTACAATGTATAGATTATGTTGACGTTGATACTTACATGTACACACATTTTAACGAGAAGTGTACGATGTAGCCATGATTATAACAGACATTGATTTCGCTTTATATCGTTTCAGAATGCTTTATGATACTTTCGGGAATTTTAAAGAGGTAGGACGAGACAAGAATAGATATAAGGGTATTCGATTAGATTTTCGGAAAATTAGTGTACGGAAGTGATGACGTACAAGTCACGGCTAATTGTTTTGTTGTCTGTTTTATTTGTTTTTTTCGATCGTCTCTCGGTCAATATCCATATTTCTATAAATAATTTGTATAACCTGTTCCGTGTCAATAACTACCGGACGACGTGATCCTTAGGTAATGGCCGTAATGACAATTGTTGTACTGTGCATAGTTATATAGAACATCTTCTCATTCGAAATGTATTCCATATCCCACTGTAATGAAGATAAAGTCAATTGCACACACATATGTACGTATTCCTACACAGATATATAGGGAGATATTGAGTAACTCAAGTAAGATATTCTAAATTGACAAATACATTATATACCATGACTATTTATATCCCCTCCCATGAACACAGAGTAATTGTTTCCTCACAATATTGCCACCATCTGTGCACAGCTCATATTTCAGACGTTTGTCAATGCCACCACAAAATGGCCCATGTACCAGTTGGCTCATCATCATTAAGTTTATCGGTGTCCTGGACATAGGTACTAATTGCTATATAGGCTCCAGGACAGTTAACTTTAGTTCTAGTTACATTAGTTATGATAGTTCTAAAAATCCGCTTGCAGTTTTGTAAAAATAGTTCTGAGAAAAAGTACTCCTAATTTCATGGTTTATGGCGAGACTGGACGAAGTGCAAATAGAATTAAGAATGGAGCTTTCTTGCCAAAACAGTCTGGCCAGTCTGTAGCGTCTAATCTTGTGTTAAAACCTTCGTGATTTGCGTCCCCATAATATACTATTGTTTTCCTATAAGCTCTTGAAATATTAATACATGTACCAGCAGTCATTTGTATCATCACATGTGTCGATGGCGTCAGCTAAACTAAAAGTGCATGTATTAGAGAATAGAATGGGGTCGAGCAGGTTAGAGCACGTGCGTCCTGTACGAGTCGTTTTGTTAATCATGTTGGTCAGGTGAAAGGAGTTAATAATATGATTAATTACGTGGATAATTTCTGCACCTGAGAGATCTACATTGACGTCAACAATTACAACAACATATGGAGTTTCACGGGTAACATTATCAATAGAAACACGGAAGTGATATCAGGAGTGTGTACTATTTGGAGGTTTGTATACTGTACACGAGACATGTTTTTTTTATTTGAATACTGTATCTCAGTCCAAATGTGTATGTTTTGAGTCATGGACACTTAAAACAACAACAACAACAACAACAACAACAACAACAACAACAACAACAACAACAACAACAACAACAACAACAACAACAACAACAACAAGCCAAGTTTCATCTGTACGAATAAGTTGTGAATAGTGTTAATAGAAAGATACTTAGCATACCTCCATTTTACTATAGTTTTATACAATATTACAGATAAATAAGATGTTGGACATAGAGACAAAGTGTTGATTTTTATTTGATAAACATGATGGTAGTAGACAAACATATAACAGACGAACCTGTGCAATCTAAAACCCTGACATCTTTAATGTACATCGATAGCAATCATTATGGATGGTATGTAAAAACGAGTGGTGGTTGTTTTACCAAAAGGTGTGCCACAACTCCCGCACAGGAACTCAAGGTTGTAAAAGTACATTTGTATCAATAGAAAACAAAAATCCACGTCCGTCACGAATATAATTCACCGTCAAGTAGTAATTTTAATAAAGACACTTTCAAAGTATCGTAATATAAGGCTACTTGTACGAGAAAGTATAATCATCGTTTGTCAGTCTGTATGACAGAGTAGAGTGTAATCGTTGTAAGTCTGTCAGAGTAGAGTGTAATCGTCGTGAGTCTGTATGTCTGAGTAGAGTGTAATCGTTGTAAATCTATATGTCAGAGCAGAGTGTAATCGTCGTGAGTCTGTATGTCAGTGTAGATTGTAATCGTTGTAAGTCTGTATGTCAGAGTAGAGTGTAATCGTTGTAAGTCTGTATGTCAGAGTAGAGTGTAATCGTTGTAAGTCTGTATGTCAGAGTAGAGTGTAATCGTTTTAAGTCTGTCAGAGTAGAGTGTAATCGTTGTAAATCTATATGTCAGAGCAGAGTGTAATCGTTGTAAGTCTGTATGTCAGAGTAGAGTGTAATCGTTGTAAATCTATATGTCAGAGCAGAGTGTAATCGTTGTAAGTCTGTATGTCAGAGTAGAGTGTAATCGTTTTAAGTCTGTATGTCAGAGTAGAGTGTAATCGTTGTAAGTCTGTGTGTTTGCAAGAGTAGAAATAGTAGACATTTATGGTAGAATGATCAAAATTCTGACTTGGCACAATATCACGTAATTGACGAACGTTTTCATCACGTCACTCCTGAGACAATCGATTAACATCAAGCGGAACCACGTTGCGGATAATAAATAATAAACTTATCATTTATAATTCCAAAATTGACAAATATTACAAAGAAAAAAATCTCCTAAAATTGTAGTTCGGCATCGCACATGTCGTTCGTTCGCTGATGAATCCATTGTATTTAGGTTGACTCCACAATACGACAGCCCAGTTTCTGTATCGGCCGGCAGTTTCCATATCTGGCAATACGATCACCGTAATTGTCCCGTAAACTTCGAAGAAGGTTATAGGCCTGCAACATATACACAGTTTCAGCTGTCAATCTCGAAAACGAAAAGTCTAGTAGGAATTCACCATTCCAGAGTGTGGCATTAAATTAAGAAGTGGTGTACAGTGTAAAAGATATCTAACAGTGTTTTCAATAATAACAGATATATTTCACAAGTGAGTCTAATATTTTAGTATCACTTCCTCGTGAGAGATACAAAAGTATTAGACACAAGAGTGAAATATATTTGTTATTACTGAAAACAGTATAAGTTATTTTATTAATCACGTTTTCACGAGAAAAATAGCTAAATGCTGGCATACTAAGCACAGAATCAAAAGGACGAAAATGACTACGCTTTCTCGGATACTATGCAGTCGTCATAACTCCGCAGTGCGCGACAAAATATAGTCCATTTAAAAGAATCGTTAAAAATGTATATCATAAAAACAAATTCCAATGTCAATTTATTTCTATATATTCATATAGAAAAGGTCACCTATTTATCTCACTTACAGACAAAGTTTGCTGTAAAACGTCCAGAAAAAGTTTTACAATAATTACTACTCGTCTGAAAATATGGCGGCAACCTTGGTAATCGATGACACAAATCCGCATGATATGTCTAGCTCCACTCTCAATTCGTACGATTGGGGAATTGGTTGAACATTTCATCAGGTAATTGTGATGCATTGTTTGCTGACGTTCATTGAAATGAAAGTTAACTATGGGATTTAATTATAAGTAAAAAAGCCCAGTACGTTTTGTTTTGTTTTGTACCGGGCTTCACGATTTTGTCAGTTTCATCAGATGATCTGTATTCTCGATTTTCATTGGAGTAAGTCTGCAAAAGTGATGTGGCCATAACCGGTACAATACGCACATGTATGTCAGACATCAGACAGTATTCACCTCAGTGGACCTAGTGATGTATATATAAAATGTACATGTATGTCAGACATCAGACAGTATTCACCTCAGTGAACATAGTGATGTATATATATAATGTACATGTATGTCAGACAACAGACAGTATTCACCTCAGTGGACCTAGTGATGTATATATATAATGTACATGTATGTCAGACATCAGACAGTATTCACCTCAGTGGACCTAGTGATGTATATATATAATGTACATGTATGTCAGACATCAGACAGTATTCACCTCAGTGGACCTAGTGATGTATATATATAATGTACATGTATGTCAGACATCAGACAGTATTCACCTCAGTGGACCCAGTGATGTATATATAAAATGTACATGTATGTCAGACATCAGACAGTATTCACCTCAGTGGACCTAGTGATGTATATATATAATGTACATGTATGTCAGACATCACACAGTATTCACCTCAGTGGACCTAGTGATGTATATATATAATGTACATGTATGTCAGACATCAGACAGTATTCACCTCAGTGGACCTTGTGATGTATATATAAAATGTACAATACATGTATGTCAGACATCAGACAGTTTTCACCTCAGTGGACCTTGTGATGTATATATAAAATGTACAAGAAATGTATGTCAGACACCAGACAGTATTCACCTCAGTGGACCTAGTGATGTATATATATAATGTACATGTATGTGTATATATATAATGTACATGTATGTCAGACATCAGACAGTATTCACCTCAGTGGACCTAGTGATGTATATATATAATGTACATGTATGTCAGACATCAGACAGTATTCACCTCAGTGGACCTAGTGATGTATATATATAATGTACAATACATGTATGTCAGACATCAGACAGTATTCACCTCAGTGGACCTAGTGATGTATATATATAATGTACATGTATGTCAGACATCAGACAGTATTCACCTCAGTGGACCTAGTGATGTATATATATATAATGTACATGTATGTCAGACATCAGACAGTATTCACCTCAGTGGACCTAGTGATGTATATATATAATGTACATTACATGTATGTCAGACACCAGACAGTATTCACCTCAGTGGACCTAGTGATGTATATATATAATGTACATGTATAGACATATATACCTAGTACATATATGTACATGTATATACATAATGTACATATCATATATAGTTTTCACCTCAGTGGACCTTGTGATGTATATATATAATGTACATTACATGTATGTCAGACACCAGACAGTATTCACCTCAGTGGACCTAGTGATGTATATATATAATATACATTACATGTATGTCAGACATCAGACAGTATTCACCTCAGTGGACCTAGTGATGTATATATATAATGTACATGTATGTCATATCAGACATATTCACCTCAGTGGACATATATATAATGTACATTCACCTCAGTGGACCTAGTGATGTATATATATAATGTACATGTATGTATATATAGTATTCACCTCAGTGGACCTATGATGTATATATATAATGTACATGTATACATATATATATAATGTACATGTATGTCAGACATCAAACAGTATTCACCTCAGTGGACCTAGTGATGTATATATATAATGTACATGTATGTCAGACACCAGACAGTATTCACCTCAGTGGACATAGTGGTGTGTATATATAATGTACATGTATGTCAGACATCAGACAGTATTCACCTCAGTGGACCTAGTGATGTATATATATAATGTACATGTATGTCAGACATCAGACAGTATATATATATAATGTACATCAGTGGACCTAGTATGTATATATATAATGTACATAATACATATATCACCTCATAATGGACAGTATTCACCTCAGTGGACCTAGTATATATATATATATATATGTACATGTATGTCAGACATCAGACAGTATTCACCTCAGTGGACCCAGTGATGTATATATATAATGTACATGTATGTCAGACATCAGACAGTATTCACCTCAGTGGACCTAGTGATGTATATATATAATGTACATGTATGTCAGACATCAGACAGTATTCACCTCAGTGGACCTAGTGATGTATATATATAATGTACATGTATGTCATATATATATTCACCTCAGTGGACCTGTATATATAATGTACATGTATATATATAATGTATATATATAATGTACATATGATATATATATAATGTACATATGTCAGACATCAGACAGTATTCACCTCAGTGGACCTAGTGATGTATATATATAATGTATACATGTATGTCATACATATATATAATGTACATATACATGGACCTATGTGTATATATATAATGTACATGTACAGACATCAGACAGTATTCACCTCAGTGGACCTAGTGATGTATATATATAATGTACATGTATGTCACATGTATAGTGATGTATATATATAATGATATGTATGTCAGACATCAGACAGTATTCACCTCAGTGGACCTAGTGATGTATATATATAATGTACATGTATGTCAGACATCAGACAGTATTCACCTCAGTGGACCTAGTGATGTATATATATAATGTACATTACATGTATGTCAGACATCAGACAGTATTCACCTCAGTGGACCTAGTGATGTATATATATAATGTACAATACATGTATGTCAGACATCAGACAGTATTCACCTCAGTGGACCTAGTGATGTATATATATAATGTTCATTACATGTATGTCAGACACCAGACAGTATTCACCTCAGTGGACCTAGTGATGTATATATATATACATGTACATAGACAGTATGTCAGACATGTATATATATATGTACATGTACATGACAGTATTCACCTCAGTGGACCTAGTGATGTATATATAATGTATATGTATGTCAGACATCAGACAGTAATCACCTCAGTGGTCTTAGTGATGTGTGTATAAAATGTACATTAAGTATAAAAAAAGTTATCAAACTTTGTATCGAAAGCAGCAATGTCAGGTTTCATTGTATTTGTATGACGTACAAAACATACATTGTACGGTAGTCATGTCTTCAATAACGGCGTGACCACCACAGACTAACATCACAGGATTACACCGCCGGTATATAGAGCCTGTATAACGTCGAAAGGTGTGAACCGGGATGGTGTACCATGCCTGCACTAGTTATTGAGATTTGACCGACGCCATAGTACTTCTTAAGAACATCCCAGACGTGCTCAATTGGATTCAGATCAGGTAATTTTGCAGGCCAATCTAAAATCTGTTCTACTGCAAGAATGTCCTATTCACGTGACTGGTGTGGGATGTCTCATTATGCTGCAAAATGGACCAAACTCCTTGATGCTCAAAGTTCGTCCCGATACCGAATTGCCATTGGCAATTACGAATCTGGCGCGATTTCCAGCGGATATCCCGCCCTAGATCATCACATCACCTCCATCAAATTTCCCACGCTAGGCTATTCACAGCAGTCTGATAAGTGTTCCTTCCGACGTCGCTATACCTGCTGTCTCCCAACATTGTACACCAAAAAGATCTCGACTCATCCGTGAACGAAACATCGTTCCACTTCCATAAGGGTCATCGTCAATGTGGCCGAGCTCAATCAAGTCGATTGGTACTGCCAAAAGACAGGGCCTTTGTGAGGTGAGGTTTCAGCCTGTTACGGATAGCCTGGCTAAATACCCCTTCAACCAAGTCCTTGCAGGAAGAAACCGATACTGAAGATGTTGCAGCAGTATTAGACGGTCTCCACAAGGAGAGGTAACTCGTGTTAAGCCGATCCTTGGACGATCGGATGTTGAAGATGTTGCGTTAAAACGTTACCACAAATGACATACCGTCTTATAACCGCGCGTTGCGTTGCGCCGACCTGGCGTATGCCGTTACCATTTCATCTCTTCTTTCGACAAATGCAACAATAGACCGGCAATGTGCAACAACACCGCTGATGTGATTTTGCTGTCAGCCCTCGACTATGATATTATCAGGCTTTGTTTACTTACCCTCAGGGAAATGGACTTGTGTGTCCTCATAAGTATCCAGCGTACTCGCTCACTACATGGTGGTGTCGTTAGAGAGCCAACGTACGTGTAAAAGGACCGGTTATACGGAAGCAGGATACTGGGGTTGAGGGTTGCTCGCACTCCCTTCACTGTAAACAAGTTTGTATTTGATGCTCAATATTTACACTCAATTGACAAGATGCAATAAAGAGGTATGGCGCTCAACCGTGACGGAGCACCCATTTCAGTTTATCGTCATGGTCGATCTAAAAATACATGCTTATTGACGTTTAGTGGAGCAGATATACTCAAAAATATAAATAATGTCTTACTATCTGTGCTAGAGACACTAATGCAGAAATCAGCGTCATTTTAATTGTTAATTCAATATTCAAAGCATAAACACTGAAGTACAATTTCTCTTATACAGTCCACCTGTCCTGTCCCTGGGGCGGAGGCTGACAGTTTATACAACATTGAATCCCTTTTATCTAAAGATGATTTATACCAAATCTCTATACAAAATTTATTCGCTCTCACACAAGGATTCTTCAGATAAAACATACAGAATTAAGACATTCCTACAGGTGATGTCGTAATATGAAGAGTTTGTACTCTTTTTCCGATAGGGCCCCGCCTGTCCTTCCCCCTGGGGACCGAAACCCATCTATTATCCAATATCGATTCCCTTGCACCCGTCGATACTTTACATCAAAGTGGGACAAAATCAAGGCATCCCGACAGAAGAAAAGGAAATTATAAGTACTTATATTACTTCCCCCTTATGGTCCGCCTGCCGTGTCCTCAGGGGACCGCTTAACTCAAGAATACTTCAGATCAAACTAGGACAGAGTCCGGGCATTTCTACATAGGAAGAATTTACAGAATTTGCTGTATTTTCCCTGTTGGATCCCGCCCCTCCTTTCCCAAGGGGACGAAACCTATTGTTTATACAAAACTGATTCCCATTCGTCCACGGATGCTTCAGACCAATTTGAACTAGAATCTTGACATTCTTCAGAAGAAGAAAATTTAAAAGAATGTGCTCTATTTTCTCCCTTTCTTTGCCCGCCCTTCAAGTCCCAGGGGGATGGGACCCTCTCTTATAAAAAATGATCTATTAATACGTTATATTTGCAAATGACAGAGATTAATAGAAATTGTTCCATGGTGTGATTTCTCCCCTAAAAATCCCGGAAAGTGTTTGAATTGTCAGATGAATTTATCCTAAAAGTAATTGTGTTAGTTAGCCATTACAATACATATTTTTTGTTTTCACATGTTTATCATAATCCACAAGAAAACACTCTGTTTTACTGTAACGTGTCAGCTTGACATTTTGAAATTCCACTTACTATCAGGTATTCTGATATCTGACAGGTAATTTTCAATGAATTTGTCCAGCGCCCCAGGTCGTCCCATGCCCACCTGTAAACATATGTGTTTAATTGTAAATAATATACTTTATTTGTCGGTAAGGTAATTTGATCACACATGTAACGCAAACATTTTGATTAAAATACAAGATCTCGTGAACAGATATCCGTCGTTTGATGTTCCTGGTCAGTAATTTCCTGTCTTCTTCTGACCAATTTTCATAACTTAGCGTATTTATTCAAATTAAGATCGATCTCTATGTCTCGGAGTATTTGATAGTTGAAGTGACTGATTTCTTGCTAAAATATTATTCTTGTTATCCTGTTCACAATCATTATACATGTACAAACAATATTGTGCTAATCATTAAAAGAAATCTTCACGGAAAATCAATGTCTAAGCGACATTTCCGTAAATTACTGTACAAAACTCTAGACATATATATATAAAATAGCAAAACCTCAAACCATTGATGTCATGCAGCACACCTACAGTGATAATACTTAACACACACCTACATAGATTGTACTTGACACACACATACATTGATTGTACTTGACACACGCTTACATTGATTGTACTTGACACACACCTTCAGTGGTTGTACTTGGCCCACACCTTCAGTGGATGTTCCCGACACATACCTGCATGAAAACACCAAGGACTACCACTCCGTCCGACTTGCTGGTTGCATTGTTTAGGTTTCCATACTTTCTGTTGTAGTGCGCGAGATGAACCTATCAAAAAGGAGGGGGATGATCACGTTATAAAACATGGAGCGTTATACTTTACATTGGTGATAGGTTACACAGGGAACAGTGTGTAATGTGTGTCCTCGGACTGAATTATATTGTTTTTGAATAAAGTACTTACGTAAATTTGAATATTTTGGTTATGTTTATTTTTTCGCCGATACGCTGATATTGATAGAGTTGAAGAGTTGGACTAAATACGTTATCACGTTGTGGTATACTATGTGGAACAAGGTTTTAAAATGTTAGACCAGGAACATCAGAAACAGTTGCCAAAATAGAAAGAGGGAAGGTGATGTGGTTATAAAATGTATATTTATTAAGCTGTAATGATTTTACAACATTGGTTAAATTTCTAAACAATAATGCCTTTATTCCTGAGAGATTACCAATTGTGACACAAAAACATAATTTGTACGGTGTTAAATAAAATTGTTTGAAAACAAAGAATAAAATTCAGCAAAACAAATATTACAAATAAAATCGAAAAAAATAAATTGTTTATCTGGTAAACTGTATGTGAAGTGTTACACAGTCAATACTATACTAACAACATGATTTCATCATCGAAGGTAAGATTACTGCAGTTTGTATCTCAAAACGGACCATCATCATTAAAGAAACAGCATATAGGTCTCTTATCTACTGGGAATTTAATGTTGGATCAGTGAGTGTTATATCTACAGGGAATTTAATGTTGGATCAGTGAGTGTTATATCTACTGGGAATTTAATGTTGGATCAGTGAGTGTTATATCTACTGGGAATTTTATGTTGGATCAGTGTGTGTTACATCTACAGGGAATTTAATGTTGGATCAGTGAGTGTTACATCTACAGGGAATTTAATGTTGGATCAGTGAGTGTTATATCTACTGGGAATTTTATGTTGGATCAGTGAGTGTTATATCTACAGGGAATTTTATGTTGGATCAGTGAGTGTTATATCTACAGGGAATTTAATGTTGGATCAGTGAGTGTTATATCTACAGGGAATTTAATGTTGGATCAGTGAGTGTTATATCTACAGGGAATTTAATGTTGGATCAGTGAGTGTTATATCTACAGGGAATTTAATGTTGGATCAGTAATTTAATGTTGGATCAGTGAGTGTTATATCTACTGGGAATTTTATGTTGGATCAGTGAGTGTTATATCTACAGGGAATTTAATGTTGGATCAGTGAGTGTTATATCTACTGGGAATTTTATGTTGGATCAGTGAGTGTTATATCTACAGGGAATTTAATGTTGGACCAGTGAGTGTTATATCTGCTGGGAATTTAATGTTGGATCAGTGAGTGTTATATCTACAGGGAATTTAATGTTGGATCAGTGAGTGTTATATCTACAGGGAATTTAATGTTGGATCAGTGAGTGTTATATCTACAGGGAATTTAATGTTGGATCAGTGATTGTTATATCTACAGGGAATTTAATGTTGGATCAGTGAGTGTTATATCTACTGGGAATTTAATGTTGGATCAGTGTGTGTTATATCTACTGGGAATTTTATGTTGGATCAGTGAGTGTTATATCTACAGGGAATTTAATGTTGGATCAGTGAGTGTTATATCTACAGGGAATTTAATGTTGGATCAGTGAGTGTTATATCTACTGGGAATTTTATGTTGGATCAGTGAGTGTTATATCTACAGGGAATTTAATGTTGGATCAGTGAGTGTTATATCTACAGGGAATTTAATGTTGGATCAGTGAGTGTTATATCTACAAGGAATTTAGTGTTGGATCAGTGAGTGTTATATCTACAGGGAATTTAATGTTGGATCAGTGAGTGTTATATCTACAGGGAATTTAATGTTAAATCAGTGAGTGTTATATCTACAGGGAATTTAATGTTGGATCAGTGAGTGTTATATCTACAGGGAATTTAATGTTGGATCAGTGAGTCGTACGACAGTTGGATCAGTATATAACGCTTACCTCAACAGGGAATTTAATACCATCAATGGCATGTTCGGATCCTGTTTCAAAACGGTCACCGAAGTGGAAATGAAGCTGGTCCAACACAAACACTTCATTCGGGAGACCGGGGGCTCCAAAAAGAAGACGACTTTTGTGATCAAAATAAAACGTTGGAGCATGACCTACAAGGAAATGAAAGTGACTTAAATGTTTTGTTTATCTTTTTTATCAAATTGTGCTTAGTTTTGAGATACATTGGATTTGCATCTCTCTGCTTCTCACTTTGACGTTGGCCGAGCCTGTATGCTACTTTTTACACCGTCTGAATAGTTTTTGATGTCTAAGATATACACATGTATTTAATGCGATCGTGAAAAGCTGTATGAAACAACTTACTGTATATAATTTTCTATTAAACTGAGTTATTCATTTCTTAGTCACCTACCGGTGTAAGCGGGAATGTGTTTTCTCCCCCATCCGTACCCCGCGTCTGACAAAAGTTTGTTAGCGTTCTAGTGGCTTCATTCCTTAAGCGATTCCCAACGACCGACAAATCATACAACAAGGGAACCCCCGAATAATAAAACATATAAACTAGGGAACGGTCGGAAGTTAAAAAATATCAACTAGGGAACCAGGGTATTGTGTCTTCTGTGGACAAAAGTCAATTGATAGTTAATGCCGGATCAATCCAGTTAATGCCACAACGCGAAATTTTGATTCGTGAAAATTCAATTTTTCTTGATTTATGTGAAAATTGCGATTTTTTTTGTCCGCAAAAATAACCGGCTATACTGTAGTATTTATCACTGAAGAAATGTTTTTAATTAGATAGTTTTAATCGATAAAGAAACATTGTAAATCAATGACGACGACGACGACGACGATAACGATGATGATGACGATGATGATGATGATGATGATGATGATTTACCTGTATGAATAAAAGTTGTCTTATTTGTTGATGTATTTGAAAATCCTTCATAATGAATGTAACATATACAAAAAAGTATACAGGACAGAAAACAATTAGGTCTCGTAATGTGTGGTCATATCCTTGTGTGTGTGTCAATGTTAGAAACCTAGTTAAAAATGAGAGAAATATAAAAAGATATTCGAGTAAGTAAAGAAACTGTTTTCTCCTTTAAAACCTACCATTGTTGACAAGGTCTCCCGTCATCTCCCTAAACTCATCACTAAATTGTATATGATACCGCTTATCTGCCTGTACCATACTGTTATTGATATTGACAGGTGATTGAGTTTTGCCGCCACAAGCCGGCCAAAATTTGAGCCATTTAGTTGGACCTGTAACAAAGCAAAATAATCTGTTAATGATAGGCACTCGCTTCCGATTAGTCATTTTCTTTACAAATCAGTGAAAAACAGTATTTTTCCCTCAAATAACTAAAACATTTTTTATTCCAAGGCAAGACAGCGAGAGACTTTTTCCCCCAATATGAGTGCCTAATGAAAGTGGCTCGTCGGCCACTCTATGCTAGCAAACGCGTCGATCACCGGCCACACAATGGTAGTCAAGCAAACGCGTCGATCGCCGGTCACACAATGGCGGTCAAGCCACCGCGTCGATCGTCGGCCACACAATGGTGGTCAAGCAAACACGTCGATCGCCGGTCACACAATGGTGATCAAACATACAAGTCGATCGCCGGCCATACAATGGTGGTCAAGCAAACGCGTCGATCGTCGGCCACACAATGGTGGTCAAGCAAACACGTCGATCGTCGGCCACAAAATGGCGGTCAAACATCCGAGTCGATCGCCGGCCATACAGAATAATTTAATCACCCATTGACACTTTGATATCATAAGATTATGTTCCACATATGTATACTAAATGTATAGTTTGATATCACGTTTATTATACATTTCAAACACGAAAAAGTAATTATATTCATGATAAAATAATGCTCAGTGTGATAATGTAATATATTACAAATACACGTAGGTGATTTACCTCAATTTCGGGCACAAGGCCATCGGCAATTATATAAAACTTTGGGTTCTTGCATTTTCACCCTTAGCATCGAATCAAATTTATTTAGTAATAAGCAAAGTTGTTTTCTTATCTTTTTCAACTACATCGCCCACGACACCCACCCCCCACCACCAAACCCCCACCCCCCCACCCCACCCCCATACCCGGAAAACTGGCAACGAACCATTTTTTTACGGAATAATCCCAGCCTCACCCCCTCCCTAAAATGATATGTTTGGTTCCGAAGATACAGAATCGCGACCGTGAGACAAAATGTACATAACTATACACGTACCTGTTCTTGAGTTTGAATCATACGAGAACATTTCTTCCACGTGCGCATGCATGACCTCATTGTCGGTCCTTTCCACGGTACTGCTATTGGAGACCTGCAGCTGCAGCAAGAAAATAAAAACCAGTTTGACTAGGACATTCATGCTGGTTCCTGACCAGTGCCAGACTTCAATTTTCTGGGCGTGTTTGGTTGGTAAGAAATGTATAGACAGCTAAGGTCGTTAATCCCAGGGTCTTTCTCGCTTTCTTGTTAGAGCCTATCGTACTTCATATTCTAAGACATGTTTCATCTTGATAACTTCCTATTTTTCATCGACGGCTCAAAGAATGGCATGTTAACTTCACTTGTTGAAATGTCCGCAAGATTTTACAGCATAACACTTTAACTTCGCTTAACGATTCATAAAAACGGAAAACTCTGACATTTTACAGGAACAATACAAACTGTTGTACGGTAAATGAACACTCGGATATATTTTTGAAGAAAGTATAGACATTTTGCTTCGTATTAAATCTTTATATATCCGTGCGGCTACTGCCAGAGCGAACTTGTTTGTCATGTCAGATTGTTTCTCTGAAGGGTGACAGACAAACATGATAACCTCGGACCTACGTCATGTATATCCTAATCCTGGCCCGGATGGAGCTTTCACTTGATTACTCACACAGCACCTTAAATTAAGGCGAAGGTGACATAGATAAACTGTTTCTTGTAATTTTTATTTCGGAATTTCTACGCGATTATTTTTCACTTGATATTGAATTATATTCTGAAGACTGTGAAATTGGTGTTCATTAAATGTGATCTATCACACCAACTAGACGTTAAATTCAGCCTCCAAAATAGTGAGGTGAAGCTATCAGAACTATCGTTTGGATGACTCGTTAATTATGTTCGGTTTGAAATATTTCCATATCTTATTGTCATAGAATACTACAGAATATGATGGTAACACACCAGGTAAACTTCATCATGGAAACTGTTATATATCTAAATCAGAGAAAAGCTGAGAATTCCAAAAATCAAGAGCATGTATATTTTCCCTTCGAACAAGCTTATATCTGATTATGAATGTCATTCGAGTACTCTCGGACTTTATGAGCAAAATAATTTCGGAGAATTTGCATTAATCACTGATGTTTCGATTGATACGATCGATGAAGCATCATGTCTTATTTGAAATGTGGCGTCAAAAACGGGAAGTCTTTATGTCTATTTCCGTAGATAGTTTTTTTTTCATTTTAGTTCACTAGGAATTCCTGTAATACACTGATATTTCAACTGCATCAATCACCATAACTAACATGACATGTTTACGCGCTTGTGAACGTGAACGTCTTAAGCGGCAGAGCAAACGTTATATCAATAGTATGTATTACGCATTTTAGCGATATTGACAGATTCTGAGCGGTCTCCGTGATCACAAGTAAATGGAAATACAAAGATTTTGTTTCAAACGTCAAACAGTTGCCAAGCATGTAATTGTTATTCATAAACAGCGAAGTATTATACTGTTAAAGCGACATCATAGTAAAACATTTTTTTCTTATTGAATTTTTATGATATCATATATATACCAAGTGAATCACCTACTGAACAATGCCACTTGGTTTCCGTTGAAGCAATCACATTTAGATATTAATCAATAATTAAAAAACGGAAATCTCTCGCTGTTCATCAACAGACTGGATATGTATTTTTTACGTGTGATAACGCATGCGCAGAACACAGATCAGCTGTAAACAAAATCTATTCCCGCGTGAATATGCCTCGGTAGAAGGCAGAAGAGGGTTACAGAGTCCTCCACAAAGCGAGAGATGGGCAGATGAAAGCCCGAGATTGTTGCTAGGAAAACTGTTTCGGCAAGAAAAAAGCTGTCAGGACTGTGCGTATAATCTGGTTAATTGCTGATGTTGTGTACATTCATGACACTAGAATATGCCTGGTGGGTTTGACATCAAAATAAAGTAATTGTGTTATTATAAATGCAAATGTGCAAACAGATGTTTACATACTGTATCAATACTGTCCCTATCATTTGTCTCCACCATCAAGTGTTCGTGTTTATAAATGAACTGCTTCATTTTTCAAAACTGTCACGTAATTTCATCAGCGCTAAATCTGTGAGCGTTTTCCCGAATAAACTGGGTGGTTAATCTAGGCATTGGAAATACCGCGTGAATATCGGTAAAGCATAGAAATAGAACAGGAATACACGTATAAAAACACGTACGATCAATGAAAATATAATTGTCTTTACCGTGATGTCACTTTAACACGCGCGAGTTATTTCATCCACACAATAGGACTTGACTCAGTAGAGAACATTCTTCCTAAAGTGGACAGGCATGCAGCATAGACTCTCGGCTACAGAAGCAAATGTTAATAAAAAGTACTACGGTATTTTTCGCTTTCTTGAATTCATTTGATTTACACTTTTTCTTAACATAATGATGAAATTGGCATGGAATTTAAGTTTCTTTATTACTTAAACTGCCCGGTGTTTAAAGCCAACCATGTAATGACATCACATCATGTATAAGTCACAATTATTGTGCGATTGATAACTCGCTGTAGCGCGCATAATTATCTTCATTTCTTAAAGTACAATGTACTTAACAGATATTTTAATCACGTTTCACACATTCAGATGACGATAAAGGATATTTTCCCCTCTGACAGTGTTCACAACTCGTTGTTAATACTTAACAAATGTGTGAATGCGTGCGTTCCATATTTCCACGCAAGACTTACAGGTGTCTACAACACCGGGATATCTTATTCAGCAAAAGAAACATAACATTAATTTGTCAAGCGAAATGTCGTTGATGGCACCGAAAGAGGAAATGATGATTGTGAAAAAAAATTTAAAAAGGAGTTAGAAGATTCTGACTTATGACAAGCTTTATGTAGATGTTGATGAAAGATCACAGACGCTTGTAATGTTAGATGTCATTACCGTGAAACGGATAGACATGTATGTCACATCAACATCACATTGCATTAAGTCCGACTGTTTCATTTTGGCAGATTTATACAAGAAGCACACAAAAATACTGTTTCAACTAGAGTGGGCGTACCGATTAAATGCATTTTAGAAAAATAAAGTAATGACTAAGTGTAATTTTTTAATAATTATTAATCTAATATGCATTCATATCAAAATCATAGCACTGCTATTATATTGTGAGAGGGTGGTTGCCATCTTTCTTTTTAACAATGACGAATTTATGTTAATTGTCAGGTGATCAAATATCCACTATGAACAAATAGGTCTCCCATCTTATCGTTAACAATTACTGAAATATCTAATAGTTTTCACTTCTCAAATTGTAAGATATCTGATAATTGAGCTATGGATCGGTGCGAGATTTGCCGATTAAGTGAAATACATGTGTACATGTCCTTTTCGATGAAGAATGACTAATATATCAAATTCCTCAGTAGTTTATCATTTATAGCGCTGAACAAAACTATTTTATCGAGAATAAAGCCGTAATTGTCACTTGAAAAAATATTAAAATACAGGAACTAAAAAACAAATGAATTAACGTGAAAGACAATCATTCTACATCAAGGTCCATGCTGTTACGTAGAAAATAGATATAATATATGTTAAACAGGTGTCAACACAGCCGGTACAGTATATAATAATCAGATGTCAACACAGCCGATACCGTATATGATAATCACATGTCAACACAGCCTGTACAGTATATAACAATCAGATGTCAACACAGCCGGTACAGTATATAATAATCAGATGTCAACACAGCCGGTACAGTATATAATAATCAGATATCAACACAGCCGGTACAGTATATAATAATCAGATGTCAACACAGCCGGTACAGTATATAATAATCAGATGTCAACACAGCCTGTACAGTATATAACAATCAGATGTCAACACAGCCGGTACAGTATATAATAATCAGACGTCAACACAGCCGGTACAGTATATAATAATCAAGATATCAACACAGCCGGTACAGTATATAATAATCAGATGTCAACACAGCCGGTACAGTATATAATAATCAGATGTCAACACAGCCGATACCGTATATAATAATCAGATATCAACACAGCCGGTACAGTATATAACAATCAGATGTCAACACAGCCGGTACAGTATATAATAATCAGATGTCAACACAGCCGGTACAGTATATAATAATCAGATGTCAACACAGCCGGTACAGTATATAATACTCAGATGTCAACACAGTTGGTACAGTATATAACAATCAGATGTCAACACAGCCGGTACAGTACATAACAATCAGATGTCAACACAGCCGGTACAGTATATAATAATCAGATATCAACACAGCCGGTACATTATATAATAATCAGATATCAACACAGTCGGTACAGTATATAACAATCAGACGTCAACACAGCCGGTACATTATATAACAATCAGATGTCAACACAGCTGGTACAGTATATAACAATCAGACGTCAACACAGTCGGTACAGTATAAAATAATCAGATATCAACACAGCCGGTACAGTATATGATAATGAGATGTCAACACAGCTGGTACAGTATATAACAATCAGATGTCAACACAGTCGGTACAGTATATAATAATCAGATATCAACACAGCCGGTACAGTATATGATAATGAGATGTCAACACAGCCGGTGCAGTTTATAACAATCAGATGTCAACACAGCCGATATATTATATAACAATCAGATGTCAACACAGTCGGTACAGTATATAATAATCAGATATCAACACAGCCGGTACAGTATATGATAATGAGATGTCAACACAGCTGGTACAGTATATAACAATCAGACGTCAACACAGCCGGTACAGTATATAATAATCAGATGTCATCACAGCCGGTACAGTATATAACAATCAGATGTCAACACAGCTGGTACAGTATATAACAATCAGACGTCAACACAGTCGGTACAGTATATAATAATCAGATATCAACACAGCCGGTACAGTATATGATAATGAGATGTCAACACAGCTTGTACAGTATATAACAATTAGATGTCAACACAGCCGGTACAGTATATAATAATCAGACGTCAACACAGCCGGTACAGTATATAATAATCAAGATATCAACACAGCCGGTACAGTATATAATAATCAGATGTCAACACAG